TCTCTCTCTCTCTCTCTCATTTGCCTGTAAGTAAAACAACACATATTCATGTGCATGTGTGAAAACGTATACATGTATATATAATATATACAATATAACACTGTTAGGTCGAACACAGAAGACTTGAAATCACGCATCCGTTGAACTGCGCCTGTGGTCCCAGTTTTTTTAATTCTTCATCTTTGAAAAATATCCTTTGAGTTACGGATCCCTTGAACTACCGAGGTCGGTCCCGACAAATTCAAACTATCCGTGTTACGCTGTGTATGCACTCCCTCTTTCACTTATGTACCCTTACATACCCACACATTATCACACATATCTCTTTCCACACCCAGACACATAAACATACAGGTGGTGACCTATGCACATGCACTCCCATTTACACACTCTCAAACTATACACACAAATAAAAGTGCATGCACACACACAGACACAAACACACTCGTACACAGACTAACACACAGATACACACACACACAAACACACACATATACACACACGTATGCTCATGCACACACTCTTTCCCATACACATTCATACACTAAGATATTCTGTACTCAAACACACGGATGCACACTTACACATGATAGTTAACACGCACACACACACAACACACACACACACACACACACACACACACACACACACTCACACACACACACACACACACGCACACTCTTTTTCCATCATACACAAATGTGTTTTTGTACTCATATGCAACACTCTCTCTTACATGCAGCACACACACTCACATTCACGTTCTTTCACACATAGCACAGGCATGGTTGGTGGATGCTCTGGTGCCTTTGCTCCTTCTTTCCGTCAAGCATTTATCGTCCTTATCTCTCCTCTTTTTTTTCTTTTCTTGGTATGATACCCTCTAATAACACCTCTAATCTTTTGCACATATTATGTGTGTCACAAGTGCTGTAAAACTTTTTCTAAGACTAAAACTGAAAACTAAACAACTAAGCACTCGGATTACACACACCCAAACATAAACACACTCAAAGTACACTGAGACTATGAGTGAAATGACACATATTTAACATTTAAATTGTGAGTCCATATCGATGACTCTGTTTTTCAGGTGGGCTTTGTGTACGTCTTCAACCTGATTGTTGGCACAGGAGCCCTTACTATGCCAGATGCTTTCAAAGAGGCAGGCTGGCTGCTGAGCCTGATCGGTATCATTGCTCTTGCATTCATGAGGTGGGTTAAGATAAGAAGATGTTATAATAATAAATAGCATTTGTATATATAACGAATTCTTGCTCAACAGGAAGCTCTATGTGCTTTACAATCTATATTATTAACCCCAAAAGACTTGATAGCTTTCTGAAACAATATCAATTTCCTGGTAAGTGTACAGTGCCGTTTTTACTGAGGTGCTAAAACATTAAAATACTGATTTCATCTTTCGCTGCCTATGGCAGGGCACCCATTCACACCTGTATGAATTGAGGAACAGTCGTGCAAAGTGCCTTTCCCAAGAACACAACGTCAGGTCTGAAGTATATCAATTGTACCCTTCGGTAATCTAGGGGTTTGGCTACCGGAGTTGTAACCATGGGGTTGCAGTTTTTGGGAATTCAGGCTTCAGACCTGACGTTATATGGTTCATTTCTTCAATGGATAAAGCACAGAAGGTTGTTGTTATTGCATAAACATGTGAATGGTTGTTGATTATTTATCTCAGACAACTCTATCTCTATCTGCCCTCCCTTCTCTTCCCCCCTTTTGTTTTAAAAAGTTAATTCTCTTTATTTTTCTTTATTTCTTAATTATTCTCACTTTCTCTTCCCAGCCTCTCTTTTTCTGTACATCACTCATACACACACATGTGCACACAGGTATTTATTTGTGCTCATCTCCATTTATCTAAAATATTTTGCTATGGAAAAAAGTTTTAAAAAATGTTTATCACAATGAGCTTTTGACAAATGCATGGTCCGTCAATGTAGCCTCAGGCTGCTTTTTGTAAGGACTTGTAAAGTTGCACTTGACTTATCTTTTCCACGTTATAGTTTTTATCTCTGTCCATGAATATAGCACTTATTGCTGACACATAATATGGTATCCATGGTACAGTATTTATCAGGATGATTAAGCACAAAAAAATGTCCTTGTACCTCCTTTGCTCCTGGAGTAGGATCTTGTTGTCAGGTACAGGGTCCTCACCAGGTCGGGAAATCGTGAAAAAGTCGGGAATTTTTAGATGGGTCGGGAGGTCGGGAAAAAGTCGGGAATTTTGTGATGGGTCGGTATGTCGGGAAAGGATAGGGCCTGTGCTAGACGGTCATATAATTTATGATCGCTGAGGGCCTGTGTAATATTAGTAGTGTAGCTATCGAGACAGTATGGTTGATGAAGCATGAAGAGGAAACGTAATTGAACCGCTGTGGCGGAAGTGTATGTGTGACACCGAGGCTCGATCGGGAAGAATCAAAATCTTTCGCTTTCGTTCCCACCCAGATATTTTCCGGTAATATTCTTATAGATAACGCAACATTTGTAACATGCAGGCTGTGCATTACGAACGCTGTGTCGCCTTGAAAAAAATCATTATAAAAAAAGTGTCCTCTGCTGTCACTTGTAAAATAAAAAAAAAAGAAAAGAAAAGAAAGTTGTACAAGCGTCTTGTCACGTTCGCCATCGTGACCGGTCAATGAACCTGCGAGTGTGGGTACCGGCGGTCCGAGCGTTGTGAAGTATAGGACTCCAGAATGGGGGGGGGGGGGGATTGCTTTTTAAAAATAAGATACACTCAGGGAAGGGGATGGGAGGGGTGAAGGCAACGCTAGAGGTCAAAAACGTAACGTGGAAGCAAATTTTTAGTATTTAGAATTTTGAGAACTTGCTTACTTTAAGAGCCCTCTGCAAAGCGCGCGTTGGTGCAGGCCTTGTGTGGAATCGGGATCCGTCATGCCTTGTTATTGAACTAAAGTGTTCACGTTTCATTGGATGGAGTGATTGTAATTTATATCTATTTTAGCTTTCTGTTCAAGATTGGCAGATTTTAAGTGTCACTGCATCTTGCCCTCCCTCAGTTCTTACACTTCTCACACTGAATAGGTCTACTTGAGCCATTCAAGTTATTACACTAATATTACTCTGCTTTGATGAGTTTGAGCAATAGTTTTCCTCTTCCCATTTATTATATATGAATCACAACACCCAGACTGGTTATTGACGGTCGATTTTCTAATTCTAGGTATTTTCTCAGGCTCACAACAGGATTCATTTTTTATTAGGGCCTATAGTTTATGTAGGCTAATTTAATATGATGAGGGGGAAATATATATAAGTAAGAACAGACTGAAATACCCAAGTCACACAAGATTCCAGTGCCACACTGACATGTTGTTGACTGGATATAGTGTACCTACATGTGTGTGTGTGTGTGTGTGTGTATTAACTAACATATACATATATTAGAGATATAAATGGAGCACGTGCTGTCATTGTTATGTAACACGCCCCTGGAAAATGGACGAGGCCCCTCCCTTGGAAAATTGAGAAGCTGCGTTGGCAGTCACCCAGCATTATAATCATCTATTGTTTGAAGAGACTTTACTACAAAATGTACATTTGCATTCATTTAAAGAAATTTTGACTTTTTATCATTGATAGATGGGCTTTTGGGGGATCATTCTTGACGCGGCAGTGGCCTAATTATTGTTCCTTTGAATTGGGGTCTTGAAAAAAATTTGAGGGTCTTGAAAAACATTTCCAGGATTTGGTGGGGACCCTGCAGGTAACATCCTGAATTATTTGTCATCACAGTACAGGTGTTGCTCCTGATGGTTGACCACCTTTCTTTCTATATGTATCATTCTATTTGACTGATTTTGTATGTCATTTCGCAGGGTACAGTGTGTCTTGTTTGATTTGGTTTAAATGTTATCTACATACTACTAATACTACATGACTATATGGTTTTTAGATTTTTTATGGGGTGGATACTTGTACTGTAATTTTATTGGCTTGTAAATTGTTTTTCGAAATTAGTCTGGTTGATTGTATATGTTTTGTAGTAAGTTATTTGAGTTTCAAAGTGAAAAAGAACCTGCTATAGAAGTGAAATTATTTTTAGAAAGGAGGGGAAAGCAAATTAGTTTGTGGGCTGGCTTTGCTGGTCGGTACACACCTTATTATAATTTTATGTTGACCCGTTCTTGCTTAATATCTACTGAATAAGGATAAGCATTACTGAAAATTGGCCAAAAGACGTCATGTTTTGGCCCTTTAAGCCACTAGCCCTCTCCTCATGAGCCTATTGGACCCTATATTCCTGAGCTCTAAAGTGATCACTTCTAGATTTACACCTCCACCTGCCAGAACAAGCAGAAGGATGAAGGTTGTGCATGCAGAGGTATGCACTCGGGTCCATATAGTTAGGTGTTGTATGTCGTCGCCTGTCACACGAAAGGGCGTATTCCAGATTTTGGCAGTTTTGAGTTGTTACTACTAGTAGATAGCGCTGCCTCAGATCTATGTTCACACGAAACGGCGTATACCTAGCTTTAAAATAACAGTACTAGCAGTAAAAAAACGAAAAGGGCGTACGCTAACACTCAACGCGACCGAATCAGACGAAACGGCGTACGCAGGCTTGCGCCCTTTCGTGTGCAAAAAATTGATACAAAGTTGTATCAAATCTATTCGCACGAAAGGACGTATACCTTGGTTACGCCCCTTCGTGTGAACGACCGTTACACTTTTGTCTTTTTTTTTCTGGCATAGGCCAAGGCCGTATGACGTAATATAGTAATACTGGCCCTCCTCTAATGATACAATAGGCCTGTACACAGCGCATGCACTGTGTTGCATCGAATCCTGCTTGTGCAAGAGAGAAAACAAGACCGGCCTTATTGTGTTGTTCCAGTTGCTTACTGGTGCTTGCGGCTTGCTGTCACATACAACCTGTCTTTCAAACTGACCTGCTTACCTTCTGACGATTGGAAACCATTCGAAAAAGCAAACTTGGGTTTGATCAAATTTAAATAAGATCTACTTTTTGTCCAACGATTCACATGAATATTGCTAAGCTATATGTTCTTCCTTTAGCGTATTATGCTACACTCATTAACTAGAAGGCTACGCTATCTAGACACCCCCCTCCCCCACCCCCGGCAGCGCTACTGACTGAAGTGATAAAAGCATCAGGACTTTGCCTTTGTTATATTGGTCTGAAGACATGTCTACAAAGTGAGCCTTGTCAGTAGCGCCAGAATCAACAAACACTGAATCCATAAGGCACAATGATTTTGAGACCGATGAGACCCAGAGTAGCAACGAACGGCTACTAGAATCATTTGAAGTTGAAGGATCAGCCCGCCAAGCGTCACCAAAGAAACGGAAGAGAATCAACAAGAAGAACGATGCAAAAAGAAAGCGACAGTTTGACGAAGAGTACGTGAGCGCCGGCACGAAAAAGGTTGTTCCAGCACGAATGATGAGAAAGGGCTGCGTTGGAATGGAATGTACGAGAGCTGGCCGTCAGTGTTCTGGAATCACAGAAACGGATAGGAGGGAGATATTTCAGGACTTTTATAAACTGGCTGACCTGCAGAAGGAGATAGAGTTCATTGCGAGGCATATTGAGACGACTGAGCCCAAGGTCGGGAAACCAAACTCTCGACGCAGCAAAACGCATGCTTATTACCTCACAGTCAATGGAAAGCGCTTGAAAGTGTGTAGAAACACATTCCTTGCAACCTTGAGTATTTCAGAGAAATTTGTCCGAGTTGTTTTATCAAAGATCACGGAGACCGGCGTTGTGGAAGAAGACAAGCGAGGGGGCAGACAATCGGAGCTGATGAAGACAAGAGAAGAACAAAACAGGGAGAAAATCAGTCGACACATTGACAGATTTCTACGCGTGGAATCGCACTACTGTAGGGCCTCTTCCAGCAAAGAGTATCTCAGCCCAGACCTCACATTGTCCAAAATGTACGACATGTTCGTGAAAGAAAACCCATGCAATGACATCCCAAGTTTTCATACATACAGACGAGTGTTCAAGACGAAAAGCCTGGCCTTTCATAGTCCTAAAAATGACCAATGCTCACTCTGCAACTCTTTCCGAAAAGGGGACGAAGCTCAGAAAAATGAACTCAGGGAAATTTACAACAGGCACGAAGCAGAAAAACAAAAGGTGCGACAACTTAAGGAGGATTGCAAGAAGATGGCTCAAGCTGACCACAGCATTCTGGCAGGGAACTTTGATTTCCAACAGGTCATATACTTGCCAATTTCACATGAAGATGCTTTGTTCTACAAGAGGAGACTTTCCAATTTCAATTTGACATTTTATAATTTGGGTGACCACACATGTGATTGCTTCATTTGGCACGAAGGCCAAAGCAGAAGGGGCAGCTCAGAGATATCAACTGCGGTGTGCAGGGCACTGAGGGAATATGACCAAAGAGGCATCAAGACTGCCTACTTGTTCGCCGATGGCTGCCCGGGACAAAATAAAGACACAATCATGCCCACCATGATGCTCCACATGATCAACACTTCAGCACACATGGAGGAACTGTCACTCAGGTACTTTGAATAGTTCCATGGGTAGTGCGAAGGTGACTCAGCACACAGTGCTATAAGCACGGCCTTGGGAAATGCTGGGGATGTGTTTCTCCCATCACAGCTGTTTCCCATCATTGCATTGGCCCGACGCAAACAGCCATACAAGGTCCACCCGCTTGAGCACAGTGACTTTCTAAACTACAAAAAACTTTCAGAAGATCTGAAAGTTCTCAACGTCCGCAAGGACAATCAGGATTCAGGTGTTCCCGTGAACTGGAACAAGGTCATGGAAGTGAGGGTGAACAAAGCCCACCCAACAACAATATTTTTAAAAAAACAGTCACCTGGAAGAGCAGTACAGGTCCATTTCGCTGAAGCGCCAACTTTCACACCTAATTCATTGTGAAGTTAAACAACTAAATGAAGAACCAAACCAAATTAGCAAGGAGAAATACGGCGATTTGATGTCTCTGTGCTCTGGGAACACACCCGTCATCCGGAATGCCGAGCACAAAGCTTTCTTCTGTCAACTACCACACAGCGAATGAGATGTCTCACAAAATTCAAGCTGAGAAATACAAACATGTTTGATCAAAGAGAGCCTACCAAAGCATGGTGGCATCCATCACTAATTTGTTTGTTTTTTTAAATAATAAATTTGGAATTGGAACGAAAGGAAACTGCTTGTCTTTCTAAAACATGATGCCTGTACCTGAGAGTATGTGTGTGTGTGTGTGTGAGTGTGTGTGTGTGTGAGAGAGAGAGAGAGAAAGATACAGACGGACTGACAGACAGACAGACTGACAGACAGACAGACAGACAGACGGACGAACAGAGAGGTATTGGAAGGAAAAGAGAAAGGGAAAGATTTGGCGGGTGGATGGGGGAGTGAGGAGGAATTTTACCCTCTACTGGTCAGTCTGAAGACTGAAATTACTTGTGTGAACACTCAAACACAGGGCGTATACATGGGCGTATACACTGATTTAGGACAGGATGAAACGTCGAACAATCACACGAAAGGGCGTCTGCTCACAGATGGCACATTTTCGCAGTGAAATTAAAAAAAAAAGTTCAAAACTAATCTTGCTGATTGTTTGATATCTTATCATGCACACAATATCCAAATATCGCGATGGTACGATGCAAATTCCTATAATGACAAGGGAAAAGGATAAAGCAACCTAAGTCTGAAAATCTTTAAATCGTTCTCCTGAAAAAGTAAGAAAACAGGGATACGCCCTTTGGTGTGATAGACGACGATGTAGTTGTTCCGGCTTTGTATTTGACAGCATTTGGTGTCTTTATTATCTTTTAAGGCCCCCCCGGCCCCCAAATTCACTAGAATGATGAGATGCTTGGAATAGAGACTCTTTGGTGTCACAGTGGGTGGCTCGTAGGTGCTGTAGTATAGTATTCTCTTTTCCAGTTTTTTTCAGTATCCGTTGTTCTATTAATTAGTTTCATTGTAGCTTTCATTATTCTGATTGGCTGTAAAACAACCCTCAAGAGCACAGCATGATTTGCTTTTGTGACAGAGTTTTACTCTATTTTATCTGTCACAAATTGAAGGCCTTTATATTTTCTTTGTGTTTGTTTCATTTCAGCTATGTTACTTTGACATTCATGACTGAGACCATGGCAATTTCTAATGCAAAGATGCGCTTCCAGAAATTTGTATCAGATAATGAGCAAAATGGTGTAAGTGAGCACTTCGTTTTAATTATTGTGTATTCCGGTCCACATAATTTCAGATGTTGAATATTCTGTAATTCCAGGATGAGAAAAGACTGGGATTATTTATTATGTTCTGTGACCAAATTTGTGTAAATATCTTTTTTGGGACCTGACAGAATTTTTGCTAGGATTATATGTCTTTTTGTTCTCTGCTGTTCTTTGAAAGCTACTGCCGTTTGAAAGCATTCTGAATACTGTCATCTTGGTGTGCAAAATGGTTATTATGTATTTTGCTGTACCGGTATCCTATTGTTTTGTTTTGTTTTGTAAGGCAGATGTAAAGCTTTGTATTACTGAACTGACTGTCATTTTCCGTGTTCTTTTGAACCATTTGAGTCACATGGTGTTTCAATGTTATCATGTTTTTCTCAACTCCAGAACTTTTTAAAATGTCTTGTAAGGTTCTGCTTCTTTTCTATCCCCTACACATTATTACTGATGGGTTGTTGGAAGATGTCACTGGTGAGTCTCAAATCTTTACTCTCCCTTTGACCATTATGGTGGTGATGTGCTTCTCTTTACTCTGATGAACAGCTTCATTCGTTTTGCTTCAGTAAAATATAGACTTTCAACTCTAGCTGAACTATTTTTGTTTTTGGATGTTTCTGGGGTAGAAATTTGTTTGCTTTTGTATGAGTTAGCTCTCTCATTTTTCCTCTCTTGATTAAAAAAAAGGTTTTGTCATTTATGTTAAATTAGAGTTGACCTCCAAAATGATAATCAAAAAGCTTGGAAATGGTGTGTGAATTACAAAACTTGTGTCATTTTGTTTTCTGCAGCTGAAAAAAGAAGATTCAGGTGGACCAAGTGTAAATGCCGACGAAACACAGCCTCTGTTGCACAAGACTCCACCAAAATGTGAGCATAACTTAGTAAAATTATAAAAAGTCAAGTGAAATATTGTTTCTTTTGTGTGCTAGCAAAGGTTGGAATTTTAGGATCAGGTTCTTAATTGTTTTCAACATTGTATGGACCATGTTTCTTTGCTCTCAAAATCCCATGTTGGCTGATATCATGCTATTAAAACTATTAAACTAACTTATATGTTAGTTATATCTTATGTTCCCTTGCGTAAGTCTCACTGTGGAAAGAATATTTTTAATCCTTCAAATTTACTCCTGTCGGCTGTTTTTAATCTTTGACTTAATCCATGCTCAGTCTATGATATAGGGACAAACTTCACATCTACACCTCTCCTTCTTGCAGTGTGTCATGATAAGACCCTATATTGAAAACTCTATTCCCTTCAGTAAAGGCGTTTTCTTATCGTAGTGGTTTCAAGATTTAAAAAAAAAGAAACCAAATGAATCATCTTATTCATTAATGTATTCTATAGTATAGTAAAAAAAGCATATGGAATGTTATCACACCTTGTTACTTGAGCTGTTTTTATTGTGGCGTATCACATATGGAGTGATCTAAGTACAGACAACTTTTGGATGAATTTGCTTTGTACATTTTTTTATCAAGGTACAGTGGAGTCAGCTTAAACTGAAATCTGTGGGATCGCCGGATTGTCTTTGGTTTAACCAGGTTTTCTGTTTAGAAAAGCTGCTCAAATAGAGGAAATGAAATCAGGGATTTTATTTTTATTTGGTTTACCACTGTTTTCAGATCAAATGTGTTCAGTTTGACTGTACTGTATGTAGTAAAATGTTGATGCACTTTTAACCATTTCTTTCCTTGACTGAAAATTTATTGATTATTATTAACAGATTCTGAAATGCGCCCAAGCTTTGAGATTACAGAGAGAGTAGAAATGGTAAGTACATGTACTTTTGTTTGGAATTTAGATAATTTGAAGACAAGCTGATGGTTCTAGGAGCTGTATCTGTTACTTATTATCAGAAAATAGAAGGGGGCTCTCGTAGTCTAGAAGTTATGGTGTTCGCCTCTCGTTCAATAAGTCCCGGATTTGAATCCGAATAGCGATGGAAAATTTTCTTCTCTAAAATATTCTCCTTTCACCTCCTTTCCTGATCTCTTTCAGCCACACCCCTGATCTTATGGTAGGTAAGATCTACACATAGCCTTCTTGGAAAAGGGGGAAAAATCTCAGAGGTCGCTTGTGCAAGTTGCGCTTGTTAAAGATCCCTTGGTGGTCCAAAATCGATAAGAGTAGGCTTCGGCCGCCGCTCAGGCAGAATTAAAAATTTCCTTCCAACTGAAAATGTTTAATGTGTCTCGTGCAGTCATATGACCTTATGCAGTTTCGAGCGCCATAAAACATTTCCCTGAAAAAGAATTAAAAATAAGAGAATAAAATAAGAATAGGTTTTGAAGCATGTGATAAAAGAAAAAAAAAGATTATAAAAGAAAAAGACAACAAGAGGAAGTAAGGAAAGTAATTGAATGGTAGAAAAAGAAGTACAAGAAATCTAGCACAAAATCCCTTTCTCATTGAAAAGTGAAAATATATATTATATTTGTAAGTATGTGAAAGACAAATATTGCAAAAACAGCCTGAGTTTTTGCAATAGTTTGAATGTCTGGTTGTTCAATAAAAAAAAAAAATGATAGCACAAAGAAACACCATGATAAATATTGATAAGATAACTGCAGATGGTTGTTTAGTGAACTGAAAGTGAATGTTTGTGACTAGTAGCTCAAATGATAACAATTGGGTAAAAGTGAAGTACAGCCAAACCTGCTCTAGCGCCCACCTATCCAAGACAACCACCTGTACAAATGATCACTTTCCACTGCTCCCCCCTTCCCGCCTTGCATATGATGACATTGTCCAAGACAACCACCTGTCTGTTTGTTTTGGTAAGTGTTTTATTGCGCTCGCAACCACATAAGGTTATATGAGCGTGCAGGACACATTAAACAATTTCAGTTGGTAGGAAATTTTGAATTATGCTCGAATGGGGGCCAAAGCCTACTCTTATTGATTTTAGACCACCAATGGAACTTTAACGTGTGCAATTTGCACTCGAGACTTCCGCGATTTTTCGCCCTTTGTCTGAGAAGGCTAGGTGTAAATCTTTTCTATCATAAGATTAGGGGTGTGGATGAAAGACAGCAGTAAGAATGAACCAGGGAGTAGCAGTAGAAAGGCTGCAGAAAGAGTCTGGAGCTCAGAGGAGGAGGCAAAAGAGGTGAGGGGGTGGGGGCAGAAAGTGGACAGACGACAGAACATTGCTAGAGAGCAGGAAAGGAGTTGAGAGGAGACAATTTTAGAGAAGAAAAATTTCCATCCTTATCCGGATTCTAACCTGGGACCTTACACACTACAGTGGAATCTAGTGGTGGGCGGTACCGGCGAAATCCAGAGTCAGTACTTTCTCGGCACCTGCGGCACCTGGTGCCGAGAACCGCCAGTACCAGCACCGGTACTGGGAGTGACTCCAGTAGGTGACATCACACAGACTTCGCCCCCCCCCCCCCCGCACTCACACACACACCAGTCAGAATTGGAGAGGCGAACTGTGACGCAAAATACCTTTGAAGTTTGCCGCCGCGTGGGATTAAACTTTGCAAGCAGAGTTTTAAAAATAGTTATCGCCGCTAAAATTGATTTCATTTTCGGAATCGGCGTATCAAAATAAGCAAAGTGGCTCGCATGGAACCTGATTTGAAGCCATATTATAAATTTAAGCAAACTTCGTTTTTGATTGTCAATTTTGAATCTGAAGTCCTGTATCAAGGTCACCCGCTGCGTTGTGTGCATCTGACGTCACAGCTGCTAGGTCTAGGCCTACACACTGCACACTTCCCGTAGCCCGGTAAGAAAAAAAAAACGTCGCGTCGGCTCCTTCTCAGAGCCGGTATTAACCATTGGTGTCGGCTCCTTCCCAGAGCCGGTACTGGAGGCCAGGTGGCAGTGCCGCCGGGCAAGGAAGGGGAGTAGGGGTGCTATTTGGGGTAGATGTTACCCCATCATGTGAACCCTGAGTGATGCAGATGGTCAGTGTAGTGTGGGTGGGGAATCTCATGACTGCCTGTGAGAGTGCCCAAGTAGCGAGTCTCTACGAAAACTTTCCTGGGTAGCTGGAAGCCAGAGGTGTGAAATTAGATTGAACAATGCCTGCCGCCCTGATTGCGCGGCCAGCCGAGAAAAAGAGTTCCTCAAATCGTTTTTACATGATGGCAGTGAGGGTTGGCATTGGTTGACTGAGCTTATTACATTGATGGGTGTGGCTAAGGGTGGAAGCAAAGGAGATGTTTAAATGTTTCTGTTTTTAATAGGTCAAACAGTGATCCCATGAAAAGCAAGCACAGGTGGTAATTGGTAAAGCAACACTGGTCACGGATTTCATTATCAGACTGGATAGTACTTGCAACTGTAAATCCCCCTATTTCCAACAGCTTGACTTAGTGAACAACGTCAGGGGCCACCTTAGGGGGTCTCAGAGGTTGCAATGATGTCTATCAGGAACATTAAAAGATTTTTGTTTGTTTTTGAAATGCTTTGCGTCCATTACATTTTAATTTGTTTTTTTCTCTTCAGGGATCAATGGCTTTCATGTACTTCAATAAAAGTAAGTTGTTGGCTGTTGTGTGTGTTTGTGCTTAATAAAATAACTTGGGTGTATTTAAAAAAAATTACAATGCTATTTTACTGTAGTGGCATGGTTGCCTGTTGAACAGATGTTTTAACCAGGTGCAGACGTTACAGAGAAGAGTATGGTATTTACAGTTTGGAGAATGCTGTCTTTTGCAGCTTGTTTTTTGTTGTTGTTTGTTTGTGTTTTTTGTTGTCCCAAATCATTATGCTGTGCATAAATTACATGATCATCTAAGCATATTGTGTGATTTGCATTTATGCAAGAATTTGGGTGCCGTTTTAGTTTCGTGAACATGTGTTAACATTTTGTTTGACAGCAAGCAGTTGAAAAAAACCTGAATGTTTCATGTAAGCCAGACCTGAACTTTGGCTCTTTGAGCCTAATTAGGACATTTTTGTTGCTGTCCGATCATGTTTGCCTTCCTTTACATCTCCAGTTGGTTTGTCCCTGTTTCACCTGTGCATCATCGTCTATCTGTATGGAGACCTGGCCATCTATGCTGCAGCAGTACCCAAGTCTCTCAGAGATGTTGTTTGGTATAGTCATCTTGTTCTTTGAGCTTTTGTTTTATCCTCTCTCTCTCTTTCTCTCTCTCTCTCTCTCTCTCTCTCTCTCTCTTTCTCTCTCTCCCTCTCTTCTCTCCCTCTCTCTCTCTTTCTCCCCCTCTCCCTCCCTCCCTCCCTCTCCCTCCCTCCCTCCCCCTCTCTTTTTCTCTCTCTCTCTCTCTCCCTCTCTCTCTCTCTCTCTCTCTCTCTCTCTCTCTCTCTCTCTCTCTCTCTCTCTCTCTCTCTCTCTCTCTCTCTCTCTCTCTCTCTCTCTCTCTCTCTCTCTCTCTCTTATCCAAATCTACTTGGGGTTGGAGTAAGTCAGTGCCATCTTGTCAAGCAATTTTTATGGCAAAAATATTCGTCAATTTTTAAAAAATCACCCAGATTCTTGAAGATGAAAGTATATTCTAAATTCTATTCTATTTTTACAAAGTGTATGCACTTGTTTCATCAAATAGGCAAAAGCATGGCTTTCTCTTCTTAACTTTGGTCAGGGCGATAAAAAAACCCCAAAAAACCCAAGAGATTGTATGACTGGGACATACCGTATGTTATACAGAGTCTTATAAGCCAAAAAAGTTAATATTGGACATTTTGTCGCTTACAAGGTTTGTGCAACGTGCTTTTTGTTGCAATTGAATTATTTCTAAAGAGGAGTCCCTCTTGTGCAATTACTTTTTTGTATTTACATTTAATCAATTATATTATGAATACTATGTTGTGAAAGGAATGTTATTGTTAGTTTTGACAATGTCGTAATAGTCTTGGGGGAAAAAAGCTTTATCATATTATTTGAGGCGGGTAGGCATTTGAAGCAAGGAATATAAATATACAGTATATATATATTTTTTTAAATATTCAAATTTGCTAATTTTTCCTGTGTGTTTTCCAGTCTTCCCTAGGGTAAAAAAATGACCTTTCATGTGGTTATGTGTTGTTAGCTCTAACAATTTCTGAAGCATGAGATGTAATATTTGACATGAAGATGGACAGAATTACTTTTATTGAATTGTTCTTGATTTTCCTTGTTTTTTTGTTGTTGTAAATTCCATAATTTTATTAGTGGGTGGTTAGCGGGTGCTCTGGAGTGGTTTGCTCCATTTTTTCTATCCAACATCTATCGTCTTTATCTCTCCTTCTTTTTTTGTATTTGTTACTCTCTTGTAACACCTGTAATCTTCGGCACTTATATAACCTTATTGTGTTGCAAGTGCTGTAAAACTTAAACTAAAACTAAATAGATAATTACAGTCAAACCTGTGTAAGACGGCCACCCATTGTCAAGGAGAAAAGTGGCCGTATAATACAGGTGGCCGTCTTAGGCAGGACTGATCAAGATGAAGAAAACAAACCATTCTCATTTGAGGTCCCAATCGAAAGTAGCCGCATTGTTGTTGTTTTTGTTGTTTTTAGTGGTGGTGGTGGTTGGTTTGTACATGTATTTTGTTTGTAATTTTGATTGTGCTAATTTTGCACAAGGGTGACAATAAAACGAAATGTATCTGACGAGGAAGACCGAGTGCCATGTTAAAACAAACACACGGGTCGCCACCACTCGGAGAACGAGCGACGCTTCTGTCACAAGTTCATGTTGACGTCCTCTGTTACTTTGTTACAGACTGGGTAAACAGTGACCACTCATCTCACTTACGATTTGCGTGTGAGTTCTGGGCGGGGCATATGGGTTTTGAGGGATCACACACTTACCTCACCAGCAGCTGAAAATTGGTAGTTATTGGCCAACAGTGGGAGGGGCCTACGCAGTATGATCGGTTGGAGGGACTACCTAACAACAACGACAGGTGATTGAATTATGACGGCTCGCCCACAATGCCAGGGTCAATGCACAATTTATGACAAAACGTAATAGAGTCACTAAGGTGGCCGTCTAAGACAGGTGTTATTGCTTAGTGTGATAGGGGTTCTGTGTTAAAATATGGTGGCCGCGGCCGCGTTGGACAGGTGCCCGTTTTACACAGTTAAATTATATAGAAAAAACGCAAGGGGGGAAATGGAAAGTGGTCGTTGGACAGGTGGCCGTCTTATAGAGGTGGCCGTCAGGGCAGGTTTGACTGTACTTTATTGTGTCTGACAGCTCATTCAGAAAAAACAGCAGCAACTGTAATGAGACTGAAGTGGATACGGACCCCTGCTGGTCAGAAGGTTTGAACATCAATAGGATGGATGCATACCGAATATTTGTGGTAAGACTTTTTCTTTTTCTGTTGTTCTATCCTTTTATTACAGCATGTCATGCACTCACTCTTTTGTATGCTGCCTTGTACGCACAAACACTTATCACTCTCTCCTTTGCCTTTTAATGCCCTGAGTAGCATAGGTCACTAATAATTCCTGTCCTGTGTGTCTTTCTCCTATTGTGGCCAAGTGCTGCTCTTGTCACACTTGTATTCATTTTCCTTAATGTTTCTTTGAATGCATTTTACGATTGCATCCCTCCAAAATACTTTGAAATTTTGTGTGAGTATAGGGCGAAGAAAGAGAAACTTCAAAGAAATAAAATGAAGTGGAGGAGACCTCTTTATTTTCCCTGTGGAGAAATTTGATAATTTGTGTTTATTTCTATACACAAGATCACTGTTGTAACAAAAATTTCAAACCGAACTCTGTTTGCCCTGCTCTTACAAGTTCAATAAATAGTTTTTGGCAGGTTTTTACTGATTTTTCTAGCAACAGCTTTGTTCTGTGCGTGTGTAGCTTGGTTTTGTGTGCCGTTATGTGTGAGCTTATTAAAGCTGTACTTGAAGAAAATGTGGCCAGTGCAATGTGCTGAGATATATACTGTAAAGATTGGCATTGCTTTCCTTTTTTGTTATGAACTGGGCAAATTCTAATGAGATTGAGACAATTTTTAAAAATTTGCCTAAAAAACCCCAAATAGAATGTGAAAGCTAGATAGAACATAATGATAGATTCAGCTGTTCTTCTAACTCTACCTCTAATATTTTATTGGTTTCTGCTTGTGTGTTATTAACAAAGAAAATTACTGTATTGATTGAACCAGCTGTTATGTCCCTATTTATCAATAAGTGTATTTATCAATGAATGAGTGATAATAAATGACGGACAATTTTTGTTACTTATTGTTTCACATCCTGAAATCTATGTTTTCAAAGTTCTTTTTTGTAATCATATGGATAACTAGAACTTGAAAGTTCCAAGACTTGGAATTTCTCATACAGACTAATGTCTTTATGAAACTGTTTTCTCATTAACAAGAAAAATACATCAGTGAATTTTATCATATTCAGCTCAACCTTCTTGCGTGTGTGAGTGTATTTCATATGTGAGAAAGTCTATGCTTTTGCGTATCTTCGTTTTTCTGCTGGGATGCTGTATTCCACTCTGCTTGGATTGACTCTCACAGGCAAGGTCAAAGTAGACTGCTGCCTAAATGAAGTGATAACAAAACTGTGTCAATGGGGGCATAGAATGTTTATCCTTATCAATCAGTAAAAATTGTGGTCTCTATTTCTATATTGATGCTCTGATGACCTACATCAAGCAGTAAAGTCTTCCATCTCAAGTTTATGGCCACATTGTCATTTTGGTTATGTTTTGTACCGTCTGGGGATATCCATTACCTTTGTGTTTGTTCTTGTGCTTGAAGAAGATTGTACTTCCTAGCATCGCATTGTTTTCTACACAGAGATCCAGATATGTCTTGTTGCCAGATAAAAAGAAAATACGTGTCACAAATGATAAAAAGCTCCAATTTTACCCTTTCATGTCTCCTTAAGGTAGCGTAAGGAATTCTTTGTATAGCAATATGCATTACTTTGCAGGCGGCGTTAACTTTTTAAAAACTGATTCTTTAAAACTTTCTGTCTTATAGGATAGAAGAATTTAGAAATTGTGTTCACATTTCAGCAAATACTCTCTTGAGGAATGGGTTCATCCAAGAACTAGTTTTAAAATATGTTCTAAAGGTTTCAGTGGCGAACAGTTTTAGAATAGTTAGAAAAGGTTACAATTATTCTACAAGAGTGATTGTTCTGACCCCCTGCCACAAATTTACAGAATTGTGCCACTTCTCATTCTGAACATTTTACTGAACTCACATTTTGATGTTGAATTTGCTATAGTAGAAACTTGTTTCTAATGATGATCAGTTGATAAATGACATCAACTTATTAGGATAGACATTTTTCAAAATAAATGATTGCTTCTAGTTCTAGCAAGGGAAGTTGTTTTTTGCAAAACTCTCAAGCTTACCAACTTGATTTGAGAGATTTCTGCAGCTTTTATCATTTTCCTGTCAATTATCAGCACGACAGCTGACAAAATGTGAACATATTATAGCAAGAATTTTTAGCATTTTAACTTTTGACTTCATCATGGAAGGTGTTTTTCAAATAAATACCTCACATTGGCCGTAATTTTTTAAATTATCGGTTTATTTTTTAGTGTAAGAAATTTAACTTTTTTCACCTCCAAATAAACAACTGGATGCATGACTCTGACAAACACCAAATAGCATAATGGCATTTGTCAGAGTGGCATCTACTGTAGCCATTGGAATAATCATATTTGGCAACGAGTCATCTCTCTCTCACTTATCCCTCCTGGTTTTCAGGATATATTGTTCTTTTATGCACTGGTCCCTCTCTTGGTGTGGCATTTAGGCTTCTTGATTCTCACTTTAGAAAGTTAATTTTTACTCAAGAATAATCATTTCCACTTCATGGAAAATGGCTATACAGTTTGGTTCTGCAGACCCTTATTGGTTTTTGGACTGGACTTTACTCAGTTTTGTTTAAGTCTGTCTCTTGTCTTAATGATTTTGCTACTATTCTGTATGTGTTTTTCCTCGACAGTAGTAATAGGGGGAAGGCTCTGGCGTTGAGATCTGGTTCTCAGCGCCCCAATCCAAAGGTCCTAGGTTTAAAACCTACCCAGTGCTGGATTGGACTGCAGCCTTGGAATAATGGAGCAACTTTGTAACTTGGATGGATGGAATAATTTAAGTGTTACGGTGAGCGCAACCAATTAATCTTGACATTTTTTATGTGGTGGGAGAAAATTTGTTGGGCGAGCGGATAGCAGGAGATCTTCAGAGGAATAACCCCCTTCAAGCAAGCATTTTGGCCCTAACTTCCTGACAATCTAAAGGGGCTGGGCCACACTCAGGTCAATTATTCCTTAGTGCTCTCCTGTTGGTTTTTTTCTTTAGCGCTGATCGAGGATCAAACGTTAGTGGTTTTGGGGCATCTTGGGATCTTCAGTCCGTGGATGTTTATGCAGTGCCACGAAGCCTCCAGTGGAAATAGTAAATGCGAAGCTTTTTAAATCTACTAAACTTTGTGGAATTTCCTTATAATCTATTTTCTGTTCTATTTTTAGCGGCCCAGCTTTCATTCCCTTTCGTCCACAGACACTTTTTAGCTGATTGCTTTGTTAAAATACAAGCCATAATCGAAATGGGCGGAAATGAAAATGTGAATATTTGTCTTTTTGCAATCTGTCTTGTGTCTTTCAGGCTTTTGTGAAAAAAATAAAATGCTTGCTCATGCAGTGGAACCCAATACCGAACACAGTTGATCCGAAAACAGCGGTAAAGCGAAAAAAAAAAGAATCCCCGATTTTAAAAAATTTATTTCTATTAGTAAGAAATTATTGAAAAGCAAAAAGGCTTCCATTCCTAAAACGAAAAAAATTTTGAGAGTTATATCATCTGAATTTTTTACTAGCAACCTCAAGAAATACAAATCTTCAAGTTTTATAGGCTTCAAGATAGTGAAACAGAATAAAAAGACATGAAAACACAGGTGTCTGGCTTGCGGTCCAAAAAGAGGAAATGCTTGTGTACTACAGTCAAACCTGTGTAAGACGGCCACCCATTGTCAAGGAGAAAAGTGGCCGTATAAGACATGTGGCCGTCTTAGGCAGGACTGATCAAGATGAAGAAAACAAACCATTCCCATCTGAGGTCCCAATCGAGAGTAGCAGTATCGTTGTTTTTGTTGTTGTTGTTCGTTTGTCTTTTGTTTGTAATTTTTATTTTGTTGCTGATTTTGTACAAGGGTGACAATAAAACAAAATGTATCAGACCTGAGACGAGGAAGACCGAGTGCCATGTTAAAACAAACGCATGGGTCACCACTACTCGGAGAACGAGCGACGCTTCTGTCACAAGTTCATGTTGATGTCCTTTGTTACTTTGTTACAGACTGGGTAAACAGTGACCACTCATCTCACTTACGATTTGTGTATATGACTTCTGGGCAGGGCTTATGGGTTATGAGGGATCACACGCTTACCTCACCAGCAGCTGAAAATTGGTAGCTATTTGTCGACAGTGGGAGAGGCCAACGCAACATGATCGGTTGGAGGGACTACCTAACAACAACGACTGGTGATTGAATTATGACGGCTCGCCCACAACGCCAGGGGCCAACGCACAATTTATGACAAAACGTAAAGGAGTCACTAAGGTGGTCGTCTAAGACCGGTGTTATTGCTTAGTGTGATATGGGTTGTGTGTTAAAATATGGTGGGTTAAAATATTGTGGCCGCGGCCGCGTTGGACAGGTGCCAGTTTTACACAGTTAAATTATAGAGAAAAAACGCAAGGGGGGAAATGGGAAGTGGCCGTTTGTACAGGTGGTCGTCTAATAGAGGTGGCCGTCAGGGCAAGTTTGACTGTATTTGCTTACATTTATCACATACATTAGTAGGCATACATTCTGGGACAGATGTTTCAAGGATAGCAAAAGTACATCTGTCAAGCGACCTTCCGTTGGTCATGGCCTGTAGTCCCTTTAAAGCTAGTTCACATCTCAGCCTTACACTTGGAGCACATTGCGACTCGGGGTGTGTATTGTATCGTCACTGGCATTGGCCTTTCTCACTTCTCTAGCCTAGCAAAGAGCACAGTACTCTTTTGATCTGTTCTGTGCAACTGTTTGGCAGAGTAAGTAAGCTGACAATGTCGAAGAGAAAGCACAATTGGTACGGCCTTCCTCTCAGATTGCAGGTACTTAAAGAAGTAGATAGGACAAAAAACTTTCACAAAGTGAAATTTGCTGCAAGCATGGCATTCCCAACCCTGTGCTGTCAACAGTCACTGCAATTTGAACAACGTCTGTAAACCGAAAACCTGGCTAAACCGAATAAAATCTGAAGGTCGTGCAGATTTTGGTTTATGCAGGCCCCACTATAGTTGCTTGGTGTGTGAAAATATGCTGAGCTGCAATGAAGATGCATCACTAAAACTTTTGGATAAATTTTGTATAACACCAATGAGAGAAGCTTAAGTATAATGTTGATTTAACATGTTGCCTAACAGTTTTGTCAAAGCATTTTGAATCTCCATCATCAAGTTCTAATTTTACACCCCGCTGAAATGAACCACTTTGCAAATACAAAGTTGCTGGTTTGATATACAATGAAATTTCAAATTTAAAGTTTGGTATTCAATAGTGTGTGTTTCCACTGTCGTAGGTATGCCTTCTTGGCACTGACATTTCATACTGTTGATTAAGCAGGCAATCCTCTTTTGTGGGATGTTGTTTCATTCATTTATGAGGGCTTTGGACAACTCCTGATGATTTCTAGGTTTTGATTTGAGTCCTGGGAGAGAACATCCAAGCTGGTCCCAAGTATATTCTGTTTGGTTCTTATCCGGCAAACAAATTGGCCGCGCCAGTCTCTGAAGTGCAGCCTGGCTCTGTCTTGATGCGGCAGGAGTAGATCCTTGTGGTCATTCATGAAGGGTACCAGGGTGGGATGTACAATGGTATCAGTATACTGCTGAGCTGTCGACAGTCTAAGCTTTGTCTGTCACCATCAATTGTTTGCAGTCTCCTAGCGATATTCCACCCCACACCATGAGGCTGGGGCCTCCCCATCAATCTGTCTCGACAATGCAGAGATGGACATACCATTGACCATCCCTGCTCCATACTTACTGGTGGCCATCGCTGTGGTCATGGCAATACCTTGATTCATCCTTGAAAAGGACTGTTTTCCTCTACAATTGTATCCTGTAACTGATCTTTTGCCCATTGGAGCCTTTGATCCTATGTTGCCTTGTTAATGGGGCCCAAAATAGGGGCATTGTGCAGCCAGCCCTGCGACTTGTAGTCTTCGATGCCTTGGTTTTTTTTGCTGATGGAATTTCCACCAGTGCAACATCATTCCTGGCAGTTGTTGTAGCACAAGTCCTTTCTTTCAGATGAGAGGTAACAATTTCCCTATCCTGACTTGCAGTTGTTGCTTGAACTTTTCGGGGTATAGGTTTATTAGCAATGGAATTTGTTGTGTGAAGTCAATCTGAAAAGCAGACTATGGTTGACTGGTGGCATCCAAGTTGCCTTGTCACATATTGAGTGCCACAGCCTACAGAGAGCATTCTTACTACCTGGTTTCTTCCACTTTCTCTTAAATGTGGCATCATGCTCAGACATTAAACGCTACAATTTCCTTCAGTCGTTAATATGTTACTAATATGTGTTTTTTTGACACTCTGTAATGGCCTGCTTATACAGTGGAGTCCACTTATAACGAGTCCTGAAACAACAAAAAGTCTGTTAAAAAGACATTATTCTGAAACCCCGTTTTTTTCCCTTCTTTATCTTTGTAAATAAAATACTGCTATAGCGTACTCAGACTAACATGTGAGTCGGTTATAGCGGCATATTACTGCTGCTGTACACAGCGTAGGCTGTTTTTTATACATGTAAAACCTCGCCGGTTGAGAAACATGTTGGTGATATAGTTCAAAACAAAGAGTGGGGGAGCCCACGTGTGCCAATAATGAAGGCCAGAGCGAATGAGGGGGGAAGATGTGGTATGCACAGACAGGCAGAGAACGAATCGCATGATAGGTCAGTGTAGTCTAGATTATCTAAGCCTACTATGCCTCTCACTTCTCCGATGCGGGGATGGAGAGGTCACAGCAATGTGATGGATGGAGTGGATGTGTGACGGACGCAAGCAGACGGAACTCACCACAGGGTGTGGTGGGGTGGGGGACAGCACAGCGGGTGAGTTAGCCTAGAGCCAGAGCCCCCTTTTTCTGATCGCCAAAGCCGAGCTGTCCACTTTGGTAGTGCTAGAGAAAGAAACCTGATCCGATTTTTTATCAAGTATAATATAAGACCTAGAGGTCATGTTGAACCAAATCATCACATGCGGAGATAACGAAAGTAAATAAACAGACCACCAGACTCATAGATTAGGCCTACTTTATTATTTCCCCTGAATTTATTACTGGATCTCTTGTAACGAGAATCCTGTTATAACAGACATTTTGCACCGGTCCCCTCCTTCTCGTTATATCAGGATTCCACTGTACTCAGCTTGTTTTTTCTTTAGTCTTACCCCGGAGTGCCATTCCATTTGCTCACAGGTGGTTAACGAACATTTCCAATCTACTTCCACTTGGCATTGTTTTCAGACAAAAAATACCCATCGTAATTGTTGATGATCGTTGAGTCTATATATACATAAAAATTTGCTTGCTTTTTCATTTTTCCGTTGAACTGTCTTGTTTACAAAAGTGATGCGTTTTCATTGCCACACAATATAGATTTAAGAATTTCATGGCTTGGGATTATGAATTGATATCTTATTCAGAAGTTCATAAAAGTGGTGTTTATTTATTTATTTATTTATTTATTTATTTATTTATTTATTTTTTAATAAGAAAATGTTATTTGTCTATTTATTTCATTTTATTTATCAAACTGAAATTATGCTCAGATTTCATATTTTATTTATTTATTATTTAATAAAGTTTATAAAGAGCCTATAGTGTAAAATAAACCTGAATAGAAATGATCTGGCTATGGGTACACGTAAATGTATATATGGTACAAATTAGAAGAAGCTTTTTCTACTTGGACTTATGCAGTTGCTAGCGCCATAAAACTCTTACTAAACTAAACTACTTGGACTTCAAGTAAAAATGTCTAATTATGTCTCCCTACCTCAATTATGTAAACTTTCTTTATCAATACAAAATGTAGATTTGTGTGTTCTATGATTAAATGTAGAATAGTAGCCTACACTTATTATGAATCATATTCTCTTTCTTTTCTCCGCATGTGTTTAGTTAATTTGGGACACCTTTCGTTTTTTGAAACCTGGATTTTTAAAACTTGTATCATGGTTATTTAGATCGAAATGGTTTTTATTTCTTTCCAGTGTTTTTGCTGTTAGTGTCGATTTATTTTCAGCTTTGCTATTTTCCAATGATCGTTGCTTTGCTTTTGTACTCCTCCTATCTGAACACTGAATAAAGTCTTTGCTCTTTTGTCCTTATGGGAAAATATTGAAGGGTTAGGTGAAATATTCATTAAAAATGTTTTAACCTGCAAAGAGATGCTAGCGGATGGTTGGCAGATGCTGTGGTGTGGTTTGCACCTTCTTTCTTATCAAACGCCTTTGTCCTGGTCTCTCCTTATTTTGTGTTGAACTCACTCAATCCCGTGACCAAGATATCTCCGTCAGCTCACGGGCTGCGTTCAATCCCACTACCGAGATAAGTCGGTTCTATAGTTTTGTTCTGTATACTAGTTATTTCATTTCGGAAAACAGCCTCAAGTTTTATATAAGGTCAATTTATTATTTCCCTGGCCAATTCTGCCTTGAGGGGTGCTGGAATTTAGTTTCTACTGTTTCTACACACGGAGAAATTGTGCTTTCTATGAAGGCAGTTTCAGCATGTTTGTTCACACTGATCAGCTGAGCATGTCTCGAAATCGATTCTCTCTGTCTTTCTCACACATGCATTTTTTTAATTTATGAAAGTATTCAACAGACTTTTTTATACATGACATACAATATATAGATCTAGATACTCACAAGCATAATATTTGAATATCGATTGAGGGTTGCTCTTGCTCATTCGGCCTTGTAAAAAAGAAAATAAGCTCCCCAAAATGCCAATTTGTACAATACTCCAAAGCAAAACTATTAAATCTACATGCTTCAAATCTGGTATGTCTAAAGATCGATCTTAGATTGTATTTTGATTCAAATTTCCAAATAATTGGATGATATTTGTGGTTACTAGTGGGCCCTTACATAAGTGCCAAAATGACCAGGTTCTGGGTACAATTTCAGGAAAAACTCCCAGGATTGAGTGAGTTAATACTCTCTAGTAAACTCTTGTAACACCTCAAATCTTCTGCACTTATATAACCTTACTGTGTTGCCAGTGCTGTAAAATGTTTACTAAAACATAAAACAAAGAGATATGCTAACCGTGCAGTAAGGCATTTTGGCAAAGCGCTTCCCTTGATACCCGCTGAGAACAAGCGCACTGAAGTATTTTATTCGGTACTCTCTTGTCAGTAACGCAGGTACTTATTTATAGAATCTGCATTTTGTGCTGACTTGACTCCAATTTCAAGGAATGCGTTTGTTTTCTAAGGCCTGACAGAAGATATACTGTATTGTTTTTTTTTTAAAACCCAAAGGACTTTAAACAAAATCTGACCTTGGTCATTTTGATGCAGCCTGTTTTTGTAAATTGGAAATTTATGTACATCAGGGGTTGTTAGAGATAAATGTTAAAAAGGGTCTTGATTATCCAGAGTTTAGATGTGCAAAGAAAAATCTTAAAGAAGGTCTTAAGATTTATGTAAGATAATGATATTTTTGAGAATGATGAACATGTATTATATTTATTTGCATAATAAGTAGTATAATTTTGTCATTTCAACTTAAGCTTACTGGTTAAGATCTCTGCACAGTTTTGAAAATTTAATGGTGTAATTTCACACAGGACGCAGCCCTGTATGGCCATGACATTTTTATGTATATTATGTTTGTATCAAGTATTTTTGTTGTTTTCATGGTGCTTATTCCCTGTTCCATTTTGCAGGCGGCGTTTCTTGTCCTCCTTGGACCTTTTGTGTTTTTCAACGTCCAAAAGACAAAATATCTACAAATTTTCACCTCTGTGGCTCGATGGACAGGTAATGAAGTGCAATCTGTGTTGTGCTGTACTGTATAGTACAATGTTGATGAGGGATCTGATGTGGTGTGCTGCCCCTACTTTTTTCAGCATCACTTTTATCGTGATCTGTTCCAAGTGAAATCAGCAACTAGTGTCATGTTCAGCTGTCAGGTCACCACTCCACATTTTTTGTATTGTTATTTTATATCTTTATAAAATTATTTTGTCATATCATTTTACTTGAATCTTTGGCATCCTAGCCTATATGTGGCACAACGTGGTGGAATCAGGCGCTCATCAATTTTTGGGCATGTAGAGTTGAAAGCTTATTCATTTGTTTTGCTTTCATGAAACAAAAAAGCATCATTCTTGAATAGGAGTCAAGATATTTGCCTTTGAAAGAGGTAAGGTTGCCTGGTTTCAGTGGTGAAAGTAGCGAGAAAATGGCTGCCAAAGTTTGGTAACTCCAACAGCTAAAGAGTCTATGAAAACTGAAAAATGACACTTTGTGCCCTTTATCAAAGTTTTTCAGTAATATTCCCATGAAAAGGATTTGAGCCAAAAATAAAAAATTCGATAAAAATTGTCTAACTAGCGGAAAAATGCCTGTTTCTCCGATTTCGTTATTTTGATGAGCACCTGATTTCACCACGATGCCTCACATATATGCTCTATGACAAGGATGATCTACAAAATTGTCTCTAATAGAGAGCATTTTTGTTGTTGAACTAACGTTCGTTCTCAATCTTTAGGCCCCCTTTGCAGATATAATTTGAAGGGAAGGGCTAAAAAGGTTGAAATTTTGCGAGTGAGATGATATTGTTTCTTTTTTATTTTGATTAAATGGGGACTTAACTGTAAGTGTACTTGAAGTTGAAGGTATAGAATTTTCCCTTTTTAAAAAAAACAAAAAGCAGTTTTATTACATGAGTAAGATTCTATCAAGAATTCAGTTTTCAAAATAAAGAATGTTCTATACTTTTTATCTTTTGCACTGTTGTTGATGACTTTTTTTTCTGCTTTGAACTCAATAACTTCTAAGTCTTTGTAAGTGTAGATGGCAGTATATTTTACACCTGATCAATGGCCAGCTTCTGAAATTTTTCCATGGGGATAGTTGTATTGAATAGACCCATTGCATACTGGCTTGAGGATATGTAACCTGTCTTATATTGAACCGACACATAATATATATATAGATCATGTCTGTTTACTATTTTTCTCTTGCTTTTCAGCTTTTCTGGTGATGATCATCTTGACCTCCATACAGCTTGGCCAAGGCAAGGGGAAGGGGAACCCCGTGGTGGCAGACATAGCCGGGGTGCCCAACCTGTTTGGTGTGTGCGTGTACAGCTTCATGTGTCACCACTCCCTGCCCTCTCTCATCACACCCATCAAGAACAAATCCCGCCTGCTGCCTGTCCTGGCTGGTAACTACTTCATCATCCTTTTGTTCTACATCCTGCTGAGTTTCACGGCTGTGTTTGCTTTCAAGAACATCAATGACCTTTACACTCTGAACTTTCAACCTTATTCGTGCGACCCGGTGACCGATATTGTGCCTTTCCAGTATTTTTTGGCTTTGTTTCCTGTGTTTACTCTGTCCACAAGCTTTCCGATCATTGCGATAACGCTGAGGAACAACATCATAGCCTCAATATCTCCTCGCTCAGGACAACTGAACTGGGCTGTGGAAAAACTGCTGTGTCCATTGCTGGCACTGATCCCTCCAGTGGCCGTTGCCATGGGGACTAACGAGGTTGAATTCCTTGTAGGTATAACTGGTTCGTATGCAGGAGCAGGCATCCAGTACATTATTCCAGCAACTCTTGTTTATCTTGCGCGGCGGGATATCCTAGCTATTGGCCATAACTACCAGCACAAGTCTCCATTTGCTCATAAAGGCTGGGTTTTTCTTATAATCGGCTGGGCAATTGTTTGTGTAGGTTTTGTCACAGCAAACCACATCATCACGAAAGAGTAATGTGTGCTCCTTGTGATACTTACCTCATCTCCAATCACTGCTTCTTTCTTTTGCAAGGGCTGTTAATGTTAAATCTGTACAATTTGGCACATAAACATTTTTTTTTTTGTTTCTTCCTTACCTAATTGTGATCTGTGCACTTTTTCAGTCGCACACTAAACATTCAAGCTCGAATTTCTGTGGCGGGGGATTTTTTTAAATTGAGTGTCTCCATCTTTCTGCTGGGAGGTTGTATCCTTCTCAGGTTGGGTAAAACATCTGTAGTTATTAATACTGTTTCAGTGTAGTTATCCTTATTTGTGACAAAATGGAAAACAAAAAAGCAACCCACCCCCCCAAAAAAAAAAAAAAAACAACCCACACCTGTCTTTAAATAGGTGACAACTTTCTTATTTCTAGATGACCCACAGATCACAAACTGTCGTAGTTAAAAAAAATTCTTCTTCATGATCTTTTTCCATCTTGTATGGTTTAAACCCAAAGTAACATTCAATGTTACATCGTTTTTGAAAATCTCCATAATATATGTGCTTTATATTAGAATTGTACGCCTAATCTATGACCAAATTATGAGTTCATTAGAATACTAGGGCACTCATTTATGTCCTTTGTCACATTGTAATTAGAAAAATTATATTATGACTAGAGGTTACCATACACAGAGGATGTTTTTATATTTCTATATGCCCTTATGTCTTTTGTCACATTGTAATTAGAAAAATTATATTATGACTAGAGGTTACCATACACAGAGGATGTTTTTATATTTCTATATGCCCTTTTACAAGCATGACATTAAGGACATATAATGCCCGGTATCTCTGATTCCCTTTTCAAAGTAATCACATCCATATTGGGTTTTCTTTTGGGCTTCAGTAATTTGTTTTCCCTGTATTCAGAGCCTCATTATTATATGATCCAGAATATTTGGTCGAAAACACTGTAAGAGATGAACAATATTGAAAGTGGTGAGACATTGCTTCTTTGCTCATATCTTTGTTACAAATTTCGTTTCGACTGATGTTGTTTCTTTTTTAGATTTCTAGTCTTTGAAACTTTGTATTGATTCTTATTGTAAGGTTATTTTGTTATCTGGTTAAAGGTGTTTGGCCTGGTTTCTACGCACATTGATTGTTTAAGTTTAAGAAAGCCTGCATCTTTGCATTTTAATATATTTTGGCTACAAGACTGATCTGGTTTTAGAGAACCATGATAAGATTACTTAGTGAAAAAGTACCATGGGAATCTTTCAGAGATTGAACCTGGGATGTCTGAGTGTGGAGGGGAATGTCTCAACCTCTTGTACACAAAACAGATTTTTTAATACACTCTTGTCTCCTTGGTGAAAAAACGTTCTTCAAGACTTCATTGTGATATTGTATGCATGATGTATTTGTACATTTCTGCTGAGTTTGCCCATATTATGTGAATTCTGAACAAATCCTTTTGGGTCCATGAAGACTTTTTGTACACATGTAATTATGTCTTTGAGTGAAATGGAACGAAAGCACAGCTCTTTGATGTTCTTGTTCTTCCAAGCTGCTGAATTTAGTTCCATCATTGTGATCTGTATAGTACCTGTTAACCGTTATTTAGTTCACATTTGTTGTGATGTGTATTTTAAAAAAAGAAAACATCAGACGTTTTGATGCGCATACTTTCCATCAAGAGAGTTTAGTTTCTTTTCATTCACTTACTGAGAAAGGCTTGCTTACTACTTTCTGACATAGGTTAGCTTCAAGAAGTGAAAATGGAAAGTGAGTATAAGAGCATGGGAGTGTTATGATAACTGTTCAGGGGGGACTTAAGCTTTTGTAAACGTGCATTGCTCTCCTTTATGTGTGTATGGAGTAAAAGATCTCATCTACCGTGGAGCACTAGTGTTACATGGTGTGGTGTTCTCACTCTTTTTCTTTGTTCATGTTTTATGCATGACTGTTTGTGTTTTTATGAATTGGCATTTATGAATGACATGGCTTTGCATTTCTTCGTTGTCCAGAGACAGATACAGTAGGATTTGTCCAAGATGGATACCCATTGTCGGGAGAAAAGTGGTTGTCTTAGACAGGTGGATATCTTGGACACATTGTCTCATTGTAATAGAAGAACACAGGGAGGGGAGGGGGGGGGAGGGGGTGTTTGCACAGATTGTTATCTTGGACAGGTAGCTGTAGCTGTTGCAGAAGGTTTGTTGACTGTATTGTTTGCTTCTGCTGGGGCTTGCTGTTACTAGTGTTGTTTGATCACTATGATTTCTAGTAAAGTATTATATTGTTGATTTTAATGTTCAAGACAGACGGTTTTCTTTTGTTTATTTATCGACTCACTGTGGGTTACATTCAGTATAATCATTAATTACTAGTACTAGGTGGATTTGTGGACCAGACTGAAAGGGGATCTGCACCCCAGCTCACCTCTCCCAAATCTTACAGAGATTGCACAAAATAATGTTAGGCAGCTTTTTATTTCTTTACCAAGTTTCAGATCTATTGCCTCATTTTAATTCAATTTTACCGTTGCATGTAGCGATTTTTCATTTGAACAATAGATTGTCCAATTTTTGTTCTAAGTCTGTGTTGTGTCCTTTGGAAAGGCAGAGATGGACATTACATTTGGAGGTCCTGCCTATGGTGTTGCAATGAGCCTTAGTTAAACGTATTCCATTTCATACTTTTTCTTTTGAAGGTTGAGGTTTTTAAACCTTTCAGTCCCGCTCCCTGAGCACACAAGATTTGTGCATCTGACCTTTCTTGGGTCGACTGTTAGATTTACTCCACCGAACGCTGAGGCGTTCTTCCAGTGGGCGAAGGGTAAAAGTAGCTCATGCTCAGGCGTGTGATTTGGTTCATAGGGTTAAGCAGGAGTAGGGTAAATTATTTTCTTATACTTTAAACTTTAAAGATTTTCCACTCTTCAAGGACAAGGGCAAACTGATCAGACTTTAAAATGTTAATTCTACTACTTGGATTTTATTGAAAGACCACAAGAAATTAATTGAGCGCTTATAAATTTATAAGCATGTATTTTTTTTTGCAAATTCAGTTTAAAAAACTGTGGGAAGCAGAGCTGAAACAGTTATTGAACATTGTTAGCTGTTGACAATGAACTGCCCATATTTCAATGATATTGTTGTGACTGTCTGCACAGATTTCAAGCATTTGTATGTATGAAGTACAGGTATATTTTTGAGGAATGCTGACGTTCACTGCATTGTGTCAGCAATGCATGATATCGTATGTTGACTTTCAAGAATTGTATCCATGTCAAACTTGTAAGGTATAACTTGTGTTCTGTTGGTTGTGTTTTTCGCAATTGCCTTTTTATATTGTTTGCCATGACTGAGATTCTCCTTGTCATGACTTTGTAGTAAGAGATTTTTCTGATATTGTCTACCCTCCACTATGATGATTGATTATTCTGGCAACCAGATAGAACTTCCTTTCTAATGTCATTATTTCGTTGTTTTGATAAAATGCACTACCATGCAAATGAACTTTTCTTGGATCAATGCAGTTTTTACTCTTTCCCATTCCATGTTATTTTGGTTGTGTTCAGTGCTGTTTCAGATAAGGATCATACAATAATGCTTGTTTTTTTCTTCATGTTTGTACTTTTATGTAAATTTGCGACAAATGCCTTCTTTTTGAAGGATGCGGGTGCTGTCATGAAATCTAATTTGGAAACAGTAATAATTACTAATAAACCATTGGACTTTTCTAAATGTTTGCACCTGTGGTGTGGAGTTCTGGGTTTAAAAGAAAGTTAGAGTTCAAAAGAAAATGTTTTGAAATATAAAGTGCCTTCTGATACAACATCGTCACAGGTCAATTATAACTATAACTCATTTATAAGAGAGGATGTGGATACAGGATTTTAGGGTTGTTAGTCCACAATGGCTTTTTTATTACCAAAGAATGACATTTATTAACCAGCCACATCCCTTTTTTGATGCATGTTCATCCCACTTTGTTACAGTTAAACACTTTGAAAAAGCTGAAGTCACTGAACTCAGAATATACAGTCTCTAACTTTACTGGTTTTTACTACTGTATAAGTTGTTGTAAACTGTGATAAAGTATGAGGGGCTATCAATAAGTTTTTGACCTAAGTATGAAGGAGTGGAGCTATGAACTTGAAATTTAAACATGTTCAAGATCCATCTAAACTAAGAATGCACACCAATAATTGGGAATTTCCGTTAGTTCAGGTTGTACAGCAGGTAGTTTAACATCACCCTTGAAAGCATGATTAGCTCTTTTCATTTTTGTTCACAAAATGGAAAAAATTTTAATGAGAGCTGTAATGAAGTTCTTTTGTCTCCACGGAAAAGAACCACGGCGGAGACAAAAAAGTAGAGACGCGTCACTCCTCGATTCAGGCGAGATTGTGGTCAGGCATCCGGTGAAAATTTCACGCCGTACAACTAATAGTCTGTTCCTCACAACCGATGAATCACCTTATTGTTTTCATAGTAAATTAAACAAGAGGGTTTGTCTGAATGGGTTTTTAACACCATTTCTCTTTTTGTCACGTCATACCCACAACCACGCACGAAAGATGGAGTCAGAACATTCTTGTAATTCTAGCCAAGATTTTGATGAAAAATTCAAAACATACCGTACTCCATGTTTCCTCTCGGTCAATATAATTATTGGCCTGTCTTCGTCGCATCCCCTCTCCTCATTCTTGGCCAGCATCTCATTGCATAAGTGCGCACAATACACAAAATCTTTTCTATTCTTCTACTTCTTTGTCATTTTGTTCTTGTTTTTGTTCTTGTTCTTCCTCTTCTTCTCCTCCTCCTTTTTCTTCTTCTCCTCTTCTTCTTCTACCTCCTCCTTTTTCTTCTTCTCTTCCTCCTCCCCCTCCTTCTTCTCCTCCTCCTCTTCTTTCTTCTTCTTCTTCTTCTCCTTCTTTTTCCTTCATCTTCTTCTTCTTGTTCTTCCTTTTCCTTCCTTGGAGCATAAATTTGATGAATTTATTAAAATATGCGCCCATTTATTGATCAACTTCACAACATACCACTACTTCCGACATATTGACTGAGATGACTCCTCGCTCCTGTCTCTGTCCCCGGTATTAAATAGGAAATAAAAAGTGGAAGTGATTTTGAGAGGAACAGACTATGAATTAATGTACGACGTGGCATAGTTTTGAGGCACTACGTCACCAATCTTGCGTAAATTACATGATGCGAAGAGGGGCCAGCTGACGAGTGAAATCTCTCACTAGTCATCTCCGACCACTGTCTGTACACAATGAAATGTCAGTAGTGTATGGAGATATCTGCCCAAGCTATGATGTGGTCAGATATCGATGCAAGCGATTCAAATGTGGTAACATGTCCATTGAAGACAACCCTCGAGAAGGTCGCCCTGTCTCAGCCGTGACTGAAGACAATGTTTCAAAAGTCAAGAAGATTGTGCTGAATGACAGGCGCGTTACTCTCGGACAACTTTGTGCAGAAACTGAAACTGGCTTGAGCTATGGATCTGTTGAGACAATTCTTCATGGCCTTTTGAATTTGTCGAAAGTGTCTTCAAGATGGGTGCCGCGTCTCTTTACCCCTCATCAAAAAGAACACAGAGCACAGTGCAGTCAGCAAATGATTGACATGTTTGATGAAGATCCTGACAACTTTTTGACCGTTTAGTAACAATGGATGAAAACAGGGTCTATTGCTTCGACCCAGAGTCAAAATCTGCTTCAATGCAATGGAAAACACCATCTTCCCCCTCCACCAAAAAGCCAAAGTGCAGAATTCATCTGGCAAAGTGGTCATTTTTTTCTGAAGGACTTTTCAAGGTCATTCATCGCTGGCAAAAATGTGTTCTTGCGCTTGGTGACTACATAGAGAAATAAGTGTCACATACCAAATTTCAAGTTTGTAGCTACACTCCTTCATACTCAGGTAAAAAACTTATTGATATCCCCTCGTATAGAGGAGAGAATGGTGGAGACTTGCTTTTTTGTTGGGGTTTTTTCTTTCATTTTTTCTGCTTCCATGGTCCTACTTGAAACCATTAGTCGTACAAAATTTTCTCTATTTGAAATTGTCCAAGATGGTCACAGTCTCCAATTTTTTAGAAGAATACAGGTTGTTTTAAAGATGTAGAAAACAAACCATTCCCTTCTGAGGTTCCGACTGGAGGTGGTCGTAAGCTAAGGAACACGATAAGGTCCATTAAATATAATATACCCATATTTTTTTTCATTTGAAGGGAGATTTCACATCTACTGTGAGTATTAAATTCTACACAGTGTATCAAACGAGGAAGACAATGTGCGCTGGTTAAACAAAATGAGACGTCTCGGACAAAGAAGATCAAGTGCTGTGTGAAAACAAACAAATAGGTGGCCAGCACTCTGTAAACAGGCGACACTTCTGTTGGAAGTTCATGGTGCAAGTTCATGTTGAGTCCATTTTTACCAACAGGGTATACCAAGTAGCCACTCATCTCACATGTGTGTCTCAATGTGGTGGAAAAAGGCGCTCGTTAATTTTTGGGCATATGGGGTTATTGATATCATCTTAAAGTTTGTTCATTTATCTTGCTTTTGATGAATAAATTACCGGTCTATCATGAACAGAATCCAAGATATTTGCGATTGAAGGAGGTGGGTGTCACTTTTTGCGACAGGTAAAATTAGCGAGAAAATGGTTGCCAAAGTTCGGAGACTTCCTCCAAAGCTTGGGTTTCTTTAGAAACTGGAAATTTACATTTTTGTGTCTTAAATTAAGTTTTTTCTGTAAAATTCACACAGAAACGTTTTTTTAAATGAACACAATAAATTTTGCACCAAAAAAACAAAGATTAAAAATGAAAAGAAACAACAACTTTATAATTACACTGTAAGATAGATAATCACTTTTCTACTCAACAATGGGTACCTACTTATGTTAATATTCTTTTTCAAGATTGTTACTGTTTTTACCTACTTTTATCGATGAATGACATTATTTAGGATATATGTAGCCTAAATAAGTATATCCCTTGTTGTCTTGGGATCAAATCAAAGATTACCATTTTTTTCTCCTTCAAAATATTATAGTTTATAATAATGGGTGGGTGGGGGTGCTTATTTAGGCTTCATGTAGCCCAAACAAGCACTCACTGTTTATTCTTTAGAGTACATTGTGCACTTGTTATTCATTAACTCATTAACATTAACTGTAACATTTATTTTAATGTAATGATCTGTTTTCTATAGCGTAAGAAGAGGTGGGAGAAACACCTGAGAAAGCACACTGACAGTGCCCTTTCTAGGATGGGATTGCTCCCAACTTTAGATATTCAGAACATATGATAATAATGAATAGCATGTATAGCGCATCCTTACTACAATATGCCGAAGGCCCAGGAAGTTGTCTCACTACAAGGTAATCCCCAATATTGGGATCAAATGCGGGAACAACTATATAGCGCATACCCCCGCTTGACAGCAAGCTCTATACTTGTTGTATGAGATAAGAGTGCTATAATAGAAATCCAGTCTATTACTATAACTATTACATCTGTGGCTGTGAATATTATAAGCATTAATGCGAATAGGAGTACCAAGGTGAAGCGGTGCTGGCCTCGATTTACACAAGCAGATCATTGGTGTCTGTGGTTTGTTTCTTTCTTACCATGACCGAGTGCACTCAAGACAAAGGAATTTTTCCAACATGTATTCATGGACAGCTAGAAAAACAAATGAAGAAGTCTTTGTTGAAGCAAATTGCAGAAGACAGCTTAAGACGAATATTCGAAAGCGACAGGCAAATTTCTTTGGACACACAATGCGGAAAGAAGCATTGGAGAATATTGTAACAACAGGCAAGTTTGATGGAAAGAGAGGCATAGGCAGACAGAGGGAAAAGATACTGGACAAGATAACAACATGGATCGGAGCAGCAAGAACAACAGACACCATTGCTGCAAGGCAAGATAGAGTGAAGTGGAGGTCCATGATCGCCCACGCCAGTGGGCAAGGCACGGAATGATGATGATTCATGGAAACTGCCAACTTATTACTTGCTTGCTTGAGGAAAGAGAAGCACATCGACACAATGTGGTCATTTAGTGCTGGGAAAAGGTCAGACAGACAGAAACAACAAAGGGAAAGTAAAGAAGTAGGACCTACCAGTGGGGCCCTCCAACCACCCACCAACTCATTTTTAACATCAAATTTAAAACAACTACCATTGACAATCACAGTTTTCATTTTCACAAAAATTTTTGTCTGTCTTGCTTTCGGTCTAAAAATTTAGCCACTTCCATTCTTTGCATATGTTGCATTGTGATAAGTCCTTTCATGCATGTCTGCCAGTGACCTCATAAGTGTCAGCAGACTTCACCAAATTATGTTTCATTTCTCTCTTGACAGTGAATCAAAATGTAAGGGACATGTCATATTAAATGGTCTTGAACAAGGCAACACAGACAGGCATACAGTGTACAGGCACTCAGTGGCCAGATCGGTCGCAAAGTTGTCTTTTATTATTCTTTTTATAAGTTCAATGTTTATGGGTAGAACCTAGGATCCTGTATTGCAAGATGTTCGCGACTCCAGAAAAGCGTCCAATCTACACTAATTTTCAGGTGGCTCCACTGACGCAGTTTTAGAGCTTTCTTTCGTTTCTTGTGAAAAAAAGCCCATCTTTTAGTTTGAAAAACAATTTTAAATGTTTAAAAAATTGTAATTCCATACCGTGTAGTGTGTCAATTGGCATTATAATGGTCTTCCAAGCTCATTTAAAGATAATTAACCAAAGTTAACTGTTCCCCTCCGAAGAGGAACAATTTGCAGCAGTCTTCAGTTGCCCTGTCTGAGTACATGTACTTGGTTGTCTTTTACCTTTTCTGTATTGCACGATTTCCAAACACTCTGTGTCAATAAGTCTCCCTAAAACTTGTGAAGCTTATTTAGAATCAATGACCTACAAGATTTGTATGCCTGACAGATGCAAAGTCTAGAAACATTCTGACCAACTACCGGTGAATGGCAGTAATCCACTCAAGTCCTCCGTCACACTGTCTCTACTTATCCAAAAGAGCAGTGAACAGTGGCATTGATAAATCGAGATCTAACAAGGCAATAAATTATTTTATTAGGTCCACAACTGCTTCATCTGTTGCTACATTTATCTTAAGTTCTAAATAAAACAATTGTAACATTTTTTTATGGCATGAAACTGGGATGAGAGTGAGAGCATAGTAACAATGTTATTGTTACCCTCATATTCATATATATAAATTTCTAATACTTCGCCGACTAAACACTTTTTTTTCATAGGCCTACCCCCCGCGGGCAGTGCCACTGACTGAAGTGTCTTTAGGCCATTCCCAAAGGGGGAACATTTCTCGTACTAGTACACAGTAGAATTGTAAATGGGCTGATCTAACAATGTCATGCTCATAACTGTGCCTGAATTACAACAGGGAACTGCTGCTTTTTCTTTCCTAATCCTATCGTCATTTTCCTCTACTTCTTTTGTATGTTTGTCACACTCTTGTGACCCGCTATTTCCGGGGTGCCTTGATAGTCGAAGCAGACTGTGTGCTGTTGAAACTAGAGAGGTGGTCAGAGTATGTCTGATTCCCTGTAAAGACTTCTCTGTTGATATCCACCCCTTGGCGCTCATATGACTTTATGCAGTTGCGAGCGAGCGCTGTAAAACCTCTACTAAAAAACTTTTTTTCAGATGGCGCCTCTGGCAATTTTGAGGATGCTTCTCAAACGTTTCTTTTAGTTGCTTAAAGAAAGGAGTGAACTTTCCTGTAGTGCAGAATCTTTGGTATGACGTATTGTAATCCAGATGCTTCTGTGTCACGTGTGCGCATACAATCTACTTGTCGGTCGATCATTGTTGCATTATGTTCAGTTTACTGCTCAAAGATATTTTTGCTATCAGTATCAGAGATTCAAATAAAAGATATGACAACATAATTTGTTTGGGAATTCTTGTTTCTTCTTATTGTATAATTCGCTGGTGAGATACAACACACGCACTTTATTGTCCCTGTTCATGGCAGCAGTATTCTTGGACTGGTTATGACGTTGACCGATTTAAATTGTTTTTGAATGACAAATTAAAAATGTTCAGTCCGGTGCACAACATTCAGTATCAGTAAGACCACCTCCAGCAGTTCCACCTTGTATCAGACTCGGAGCATGTGCCGACCACCCACTCCCACTCTCGATATAATGTTTTGGCACACAGTAGCTAAACAAGCCAGACACAAACGGAAACAGGACACACATAGCTTCCATGAGCTAAAACTTACTTATTTGTTCACACAATAAAGATCCCACCCTAAACACAACAGAGGTGACCCCTACAACATACTAAATAGAGCAGACCAGGTCACAATATTTCGACTCTGTTGTAACCACAACAGACTCAACAAACACCATATGCCAATATGCACACTAAATTCAAAGTGGGAGAGTCCGCGATCTGTGAATGTGGACACGACCAAGAGGATGCCAACCATATCCTTCAGCACTGCCCGCGCTACGCCACCCTTCGTACACAGACGTGGCAGAAGGTGACTCCCTTGAGAGAAAGCTCTATGGTAGTCTCTCAGATTTGAAGCGGACTGCAGTTTGGGCGCGACATCGGACTGACTGTCTAGCTGCTGTCGTTGAGAACGAGGAAGAAGAAGAAGCACACACAATGAGGTTACAGTAGTCTCCGCCTAAACGCACGCTGCTCGAGAGGGCTCCTCAGCATGTGTTTATGCGGAGCGTGCGTTTACATGAACCTTTGCAAAGGGAGGAAGGGACGCAGTCATCTCAATTCCTTATTACTCTAGTGACCTCCCTTGGAGGAGGGGGTCATTTTGGCAGATAATGTGACGACACGTGACTGTTTTGTGAAGGATTCCGCGACAGGGGTTAAGAATACAAAGGCGTTGAAAGGGGGGGGGGGGAGACAGACTCCATGAAATAAATATGCACTATAAACATCGGGAACAGATAGCCTAAGAGGAAACTGTTGGTCATAGTCATAGAGACAACGGACCAGCCACGACCATAAATTCATGCAGAATCACTCTCTGCGTTCAGAGAAACATTTTCTCTTGTGATTCGTTGAACAAGTAGGCCTACGTTATAAATTCTTCGATCGCAGCTTATTATTAGGCTTACTTGGCTACTCTTTAAACTTATAGAGGCCTGTCTAGGGTTTTACAGCATTTACGCGTGTCGCGCATCAGGCCTAGATCTAACTAAACATTACACGCAGTCACTCAAACACCAGTCAGAAACCTTCTCTCAAAGATACATTTCCAAGGACCAATCAAAAAACTTTTCAGTCCCCTTCCCCCCCAACATTTAACCGACCAGCCCTAGACCGAGACCTATGCGTCAGTGGAAAGTAGGGTGTGAAAATGCTGTCCATCACTCTCTTTGTACGGTGTGAGGAGCATTCTCACCAAATATCCTGTTTTCTAGTAAATTCTAGGCTTGTCTTATGCAGGCTGTTCAGGTTGTAGTAAAAATTCCCCCTTGCCAAGCTTAAGTTGTCGGCGTGTTTCGCGGATCGGAGCATACGTTTAGAGGGAGTGACCGTGCTTTTGTACGTCTAAATTATATAGCAAAAAACCTGTCAGATGACGAAAGCGTGCGTTTGAGTGGAGCGTGCTTTTGTATGGCGTGCGTTTAGGCGGAGACTACTGTACAAGTTACAGTAGTGAGGAAGGAAGGAGAGAAAGAAACTGGCTCAAATGTTAATGTTAGAGCAAACTCAAAATGTGACGATTTATAATTATAAAATATATTGAAAAAAAAAAAGAACAGGTAAGAACCCAAAATTACCCAACATTTATTGTGAACAAACCAGTAAGCAACCTAGAGCTGTTGTGTGAGGAAGACAGAGCCTAAAGAGAAACACACAAAATGAAAGACACAATAATAATAGAATAAATCTTTTCCCGTCAAGTTAAAACAACCCAACAATATTCCAAAATGCAATATTATTTATTGATCCTGATACAAACGTTACCAGTAAAATACACATTTTAACATGGAGAGGTTTATTTACAATGTGCAATGGCAGGATTTATCATACTTTATTTACTAATTCAACATTTTCAGTAAGTCAGGGAAAATCTTGTTTGCTCAGTTGCCTTTTGAAGATGTTTGGTGACAGGAAAGAACTACTGGTACTAAAAAGAGTACTCAACCTTCAAGCTATGCCTGCCCCCCCCCCCCCCCCCCCCCTCTGCTGAGCATCTGAGCTCTAGTGTATTGATTGCAAGATACATTGCTGTTCTGTACACCGAGGCATGTGTTTGGTGCACAGATGGGTAAAGGTAGTCTCGTTCAAGACTGCGTATGGGTCCATCAGGTACCCCACATCACTGTACCCCACTCCACACACTTTTTTGGTTAAACTTTAAGGATTTGATTCCAAAATACAGGGTAAACAAATACAGTGGAAACCATATATTAACAGACTCAGTAATAACAGGGATCTGGTGATAACAGATTTTTTAAATCCCCGTTTTTTCCCACTCTTTGTCTCTATTAAAAGTTATCGGTAATAACAGGGTCTCATTGGAGCCCAAACAGTTATGGTACAAAGGCTCGTTAACAATGTTTAAAAAGTAAGAGTGAGAGAGAGAGAGAGAGAGAGAGAGAGAGAGAGAGAGAGAGAGTGAGAGAGAGAGAGAGAGAGAGAGAGAGAGAGAGAGAGAGAGTGAGAGAGAGAGAGAGAGAGAGAGAGAGAGAGAGAGAGAGAGAGAGAGAGAGAGAGAGAGAGAGAGAGAGAGACATAGCTGCCACTCAGAAATTTTTAAAAAGGAGGAAATTCACGTGAAGGCGTACGCGCGCTCTCCGAAACCAGTGAGATCCAGAGGCAATATATACTGGAAAATCTAGCCTACGGTTTTGGAAGGGAAAACTGTCATATTGTGAACCATATGCAACTGAATTAAAAAGTATTTGAAAAAAAACCCAAAAACATAAAGGCAGTAAGTTGACTAACAAGCATTCGAGTCAATTTGACACAGTTTGGACTTGGTGACAAAAAATCCAGTGTTTTTTGCCAGCTGGTGTCTCATAAAAAGATTTCTTTCACTTTAAACTTGTACTTGTACATACATAGACGTAGAGCAGTATCGGATCAAGGATGCAGTCACTCCTGTACAATTGCGGTCCCGTTTGCACTTAGTGCCCCTGTAGTAGTGTGTTTCTTATTTAGAGATCTAAACTGAATTAAAATTATAGCCTAGGCTATCTAATCTAGATATATCTAAATATGTGTAGATCTAGATTATATCTAGAGACAGATTTTCTAGATCTAAATCTAGATCTAGATTCACGCCCCAATAGCTGTCATGTAAATAAACGGGACCGCAATTGTTCAGGAGTGCTGCGGGCCGCGATTTCTTTTGCAAAAAACGGCTAGTTCAGTTTTGTAATGAACTTTTCAAGTCACACACCGGCTGTTTCTTTCTCATTCCAGCTCCTTTTATTTTTGCATTCTGAATCAATTTCTCTCGGTTTTCCGCCAATTTCAATGACAACTCGGCGCGCTAACGTTTCGATGGCCGATCGACACTGTGTTGCTCCACAACAATAAACAATGTGAAACTAGCGCTGGCCGCTGGGCCTAGAACAACGGAAGTAGAAAACTACGGGCGGACATGCGCAAACCGCGTTTTCGTCTCTCTCCCGGTTCGGTGTTTTCCGCGGGGGGGAAAAGTATGAAATTTGCGACCAAGAGCGGTCCAGCGGAGGAAGGAGGAAAGTTGCGGGAAAAGCTAGATGTAGCGGAGTTTCCGCTATTTAGCGGGAAAGTGGCAGCTATGGAGAGAGAGAGAGAGAGAGAGAGAGAGAGAGAGTAATGCAGTGAAGGAGCAAGCCCACGCAAGCCACGCCATCGTGAGCACACGCAGCGGGGGAAGCGAGAGAGGGCTACGGTGTGCTGCAGACATCGTTCCACATGACTATGAGAAAGGGCTGCGGTGTACTTGCGGATGGATTAGTCCACAAATGTTTACTTCCCTTCCATTTCTGATTTAACAGGGATCTGATATAACAGGACTTTTTCTCTGGTCCCACCATCCCTGTTATATCAGGTTTCCATTGTATGCCTCAGGGAAACAAAAATACATGGTAGAGAATGAAATTGAATTTACAGTTGAACCAGTCCAAGACAATCCACCATTCTGGAGCAAAAAGTGGTTGTCTAAGATCAAAATGAAGGGGGAGAAAAAGTCTTGCTGAGGTTTCAACTGGTGGTGGTCGGAGGCTTTGGACTGCCGCAAGGCCCATCAATATGTTTTTACTTTTGGAGGGAGGGGGTAAAGGGGAGGTTTTAGTTATTTTGGTTGTTAGTTTTCATTATTTCTTGAATTTGCACTTTCTTGCCTTTTAACAGTTTTGCAATGGCTCTTGCTGAATGTAGTTCATTAACTTGTGTATATCTGTTCTTGTAGAGTAAGGGTCTTCTTTTTGCAAGTAGACATGGGTTTCTTGCCTCAGCAGCAACAGCAGTTAAGTGTTGTGAAATGTGAGCGAAGGTGCACCTTTTATGCCTCTCCCCCAGCTATGTGAGTACAAAGAAAACAAGACAACCTGTTTGTGCCTCCTCCACCCCTAACTCGCTGACAATTATGCATGAAAGTTAAGAAGGATGGAATTAAAAGATTTGCTTTTTTAAAGAAAAAAAATCCACAAAATCCCTTTGAATGCATCTAAGCTGCCCGAGCTTAGCACAAAAAAACACACAACCAAAACATGCAACAAAACATTCAGATTCTCATAAAATTGTTGAATACTAGCCAGTCTTACTGCAGGACCAAAAAAAAAGAACAAACAATAAACAGGAAAGTTTGTTTCACATAAGAAAAAGAATATGATGAGTGGACAGAAATTTACGTTCATGAGTTCACTTTGATGGATCCCTCTTCAATTATGGCTCTTGATAGGTTTTTTGTGAGGGCCATTCTCAGCATTTTCAGCTTGTCAAGGGCAGTATCTGTAAAATTCTGGAGGGGGGGAGGGGACCCGACAAAACATTATACTCAGTAACACTTGATCAATAAGCTCTGTGTAAATTCACACAAAACATTACGGATAACATATAAAATGCTCGAAAAACTTATCATAGCATCTTATCGTCACAATTTCATTGGTAAAAGTTTTAGTCTGACTGTCAAAGTCCCTTGAAACACTCATTTATTGTTTCCAAGTCTTAATTCATTTCATCAAAATGTTACAACAAACTGGTATACACGATTCCATCAAGATGCAGAAAGTACAATGGTTAGGAAAACCACCATTTGTCACAATAATCAATAATACAAAAGGAGTTTGGGGAAATTCCTAACTGATAAGTTCAGGTTAGAAACCTACGTAAACAATGTCTTATTCAGTCTAAAATTGTAACTAACATTTCCACAAAGTTTCCAAACATAGACTGACTAAGTTATGCCAGATTTACAGCTATGACACAGCAATCAAAGGCCTTGGGACTAGAATTTGAAAGAAAATGCTGATTTATCTTCTACTTACTTTTTGATTTGACTCTCCATCTCTTTGGAGTTCGTCCAGGCAGTGCATCATTTCATACGTTTGTTGGACACCAAGAGCCACCTGAAAAAAGCCACAAATCATTTCATTCCTCAAGGTTTGCAGGTCTTCCTGGGACACTTCACTGGACACAAACTATTACAAGAAGGAGGTAAGTTGTTCTTTTGTGTAAGGCGTTAGCACAACACAGACCGAACAAACTAGGAAAAAAGTTGCACTGAAAGAAAAACATGTCTATTTTGACATCATAGTCAGTACTACCAGTACTTTCTATTTTCCTTCATGGCTGGAGCAAAACACATGATTGAAGTGGCCATTAACACATTACACCCTAACTCGCCCGGGAATTCCCTTGCGTGCTCCACCCTGACTCGCCAGCGCTGACCTAGCATCTTTAGAAACGAAGTCTCGCCCTGACGAGACTCTGGGGCCGAGATTTTGATTTGCATAGCTATTGCAAAAAATTTCTTCTTTCGTTTGATACCGAAACAAAATTTTTCGGGCCAGCAATTTTAGTATTAGAGCCGATAGAAAAGCGATCGCGTTACCAACACTTCGTAGAGGTCTCGACTTGTTGAAAAGCAACACAATTGAGTTCGAAATAGGAAATAACGATGGATTTGAGCAAAAACAAGCATATGACAAATCAGATGACTCAGATTTTGATGAAAACGTAGCAAGAGTTTGGGGTGATTCAGATTGACAAGACGTAGAAAATCTAGAATTTAGATCTAGGGCCCAACTGCGAGGCTGAGAGTGAGAGTATGGGTCAGACACCCCGATTGAACTAAAGTTAGAACATTTCCAACAATTTGCGCATACATAAAGTTATATTTTTCTGAAACTACATTCATTATTCATTTTAACTTTTATTTTTTCAGGATTTTTGGAATTTGTTAAGTATTTTTAAAATGCGCTTTTTAAAGGCTTGTATTCACGGGAGGTGGGTTCCTTCCCCTTGCTTAGGATCTAACAATGGACTTCCCGTCCAGACCCTTAGGGCGTAATGTGTTAAGCATCCGCTAAAGTGAGGAAGAAAGCAGCAATTACTGGCACTTTATATTTTGAAATAGATGCGTTTCCAATACAAAGTCCACAAAAGACAGGCTCTAGTTCACTTTGGTGCTGCGAGACAGGACATTAATAAATAAGTTGCAGCAGTAGCCTACTGACATCTTTTTTTCTCTATGACTACGAGGCAGGTGTGAATTTGGGACATCACAACAACACACGTTATTAGTCCAAAAAATGTACGATTCATTGGGTAAACAGGAAAACCTCTTTTTATTTATAATAAATCTACAGGGTGCAAGGGACAAAAAAGAATCAGTGAAAGGATCAATAGAATCCATGATGCAATCGTCTTTCTGCGACAACCTACCTGATAGTTGAGTGCAAGGCTTCTCTGCGATGCAATCAGTAAACAGCTAAACAATTAATCCGTAACACCTGCCTTACCCTTTCTGTCTTTTTATATTCGCATTTGACCATTTTCATAATCAAAAACTTTCAATTTCGATTCCATTCTGTTACTCAGTAATACCACCTGACAAATGAGCCAAAATCTTACCTTTTCCAAATTGAGTAGAGGTAATGCATCCAAAAGCATTGTCATCCAAAACCTAATGACAAAAAAAAATAAAATTAATGCACATTCACAGTGCCTACTTAGAGAGACTTTGTTGCACTTGTTACGACCACATTTTAAAATTACTTTAAACGAGAAGCAGTCTTCATTTTTCCACAAATTTTTCTCAGTATTGCTACTAATTGAAATAGTTGATTCTCTTTGCTCTTTGTCTTCACCCTGCAATAAGTTACTTCATTCATACTGCCATCAGTCTCTCCAGTCCAAGTACAGTACATTTACCAATGACCCCAGTAGTATTAGCAAGATTAACAGAAGCAAAAAATTATTTTAGAACAGCGGGACCTTTGACAAGACCTAAGAAAAAATTTACTCTCTGGAAAAATTGAGCATTAATTCTGAATAACCGCAAAGACCACATTTATTTATTATCCCAGCAGAAATCAGTGGTTACAGGTAACATTTTCCCTTACGATTTGGGGGCAAGTCTCGATGAAATCAAAGAGAGTAGGAGAGAGGTAGCCGTGTGAACATCTCCACTGTCGTACAATGTGTGGAATTCTCTGTACTTGGCTGAAAAAAAAAGAAAAATCAACCAAAAGGAAAATATAACTGAGAATTGCTTCGGTAAGTAGTGTAATGCAAGTATTAGTTATTGCTATGCAAATGTGATCACCCTATCATGAATATATACAAAACAAACCCTACCCCCTCCCCCAACAAAAAAAAAACCCAAAACAAAAACAGACCTTTTTCTTGCATTTAAGGGATTTAGTACACATTTACCAGCTAGCTACAAGACAGAGATTGACTTCAAGTAGACTTTATGGGCAAACACAATGGTAGAATTTCTATACAGCTTGACAACTTGAAAAAAAACAAAAACAAACCCAAAATAACTATAAAAAGCCCCCAAAAACAAACAATGTTGCCATCACACACCAAATGGTGACCATACATTTTCATACAAGAAAAAAAAAGGATTTGAAGCATTCCATATCTCATAAAAAGCAGTAGCAGCAGCCTTTCTACCTAAGGAAAAACGTGGATGCTCACTCACCCAGAAATGTGAGGCTGTTGGCCACCAACATTGAAGGTCCAAGATGGTCAATCAGATCTAAATGGGAAAACTTGCCCTGCTCGCAGTACTCATTTAGAAACCTGGAGGAGACATCACACACCCAACTAGTACACATGTTCTATTGTTAAAAGAATTGTGGCTTTAAAATTTGCATATTGTAGTTATGTTACTATAAATACCAAATGAAAAGTCATTATCTGTTGCACAAAGTTAGCTTTAGTACAAGATACGGGATCCTCATAAATTATTTCAAAGAAAAAATGTCGGTTTTTTATGTGTACAACAAGTGGCATATCTACACCATAATGGCCACTTGGTGCAAGGAAAAATAAGACAGGCAGACAGATAGAACCAACAGAGGGAAAAAAAGGAAGTAGGAATAGGACCTACCAGTGGCATCCTCTTGAAATAAATATAAATATGACATAAAAACAGCTTATAACAAAAGGAAGTAAGTAAACAAAATATATAATCAGCACAGTTTGTTGAACTAAGGCACAAGCTAAGGCACAAGCTAAGCCACTGGTTACAGCTTCCAGCAGACTGCATTGCCTAAAGGTAAACTGTCAAGCAGGCTACACCCAGGTTTTAGTTTAGTTTTAGGGGAGATTTTACGACGCTCGCAACTGCATAAGGTCATACGAGTGCCAAGGGGTGGATGTCAACAGAGAAGTCTTTACAGGGAATCAGGCTTACTCTGCTCACCTCTCTAGCTTCAACTGCACAAAGTCTGCTTCGACTATCAAGGCACCCCCGAAATAGCCGGTGTGACAAACATACAAAAGAAGTAGAGGTAAAAGAAAAAGCAGCAGTTCCCAGCTGTAGTTCAGGCACAGTTATGAGCATGACATTGACGAATCAGCCCATTTACAGTTCCGACGGTGCATAAGAACATGTTAATGTCCCCCATTTGGGAATGGCCTAAAGACATTTCAGTCAGTAGCACTGCCCTGGGGGGTAACACCCAGGTTTGAAACTGCCTGAAGGATCAGTGATGGAGAGGAGGACGTGATGAAAGGACTCAAACGCACGACCTAGAGCTGAAATTCCCTTGCAAATGCAGCGTCAAAATATGCCTGTCTCAGCTAGGCCTCTAGCTTACCTGGAACCACAACCATGAACAAATCTCTCTGAGCAAAGTCAAACCGTAAATGTTTTTAAAAACTTTTGAAAAATCCAATTAAAATGTCCTCTCCAAATAAAGAAATAAGACGATCTTAACAAAACTCACAAAAAGGGAAGAAACTTACTTTTCAGTGATTTGTTTGATGACTGTTGCATCCTGAAAGGAAAGAAGATAAAATATTGAACTGATAGAATGGGGATAGGGGATGAAAAGTTCACTCAACATCAGGTGTAATAAGCTTTTTTTTAACTTGAGGAGGAAAATGTAACTTTACTTATGAGTTATTTATTAACACTTTACAGCCCTATCACATTTGTCCAAAACTTTCGAGCAGACATATCAATTGATCATGTTTCCAGAACTTCTGACTCTCCATTACTAATATAAAATACATTTTATATTTGCAAGCACTTCTCTCATTGACATAAATCAAATGCTTATTAGTAACTATGGCAATGAAATCAAAATAGTTGACAAGCTTTATACAAAAAAGAAAAGAAAACAAAAAGAGTTGGGAAATTTATTATATGAACCTTTTTTTAATCCCAGAACATGTTCCCGTCTATGTACCTTTGGCACATTTGCAAATGTCCATCCAAACTTGTCTAAGACGGTCACCCATTGTCGAGGAGAAAAATGGTTGTCTTAGACAGGTGGATATCTTACACGATTTCGTTATAATGTAAAAAAAACACTGTCCCATTCTGTTCACAATAATTATTTAGTAAAATTCATTTGTTCTGATGATCCTAAAAATTGCACTTAAAGTTTAAATAATTCAAACCTAGAATTAAAGGGACATTATTGTTTATAGTAATTATAGTAGGTAGCGTAAACACGGCCTCACGCGCACTTGCGGCCTTCCGACCGCGTGGTATTGGTGAAATCGGGATAATTCCGATCGCTGTTTCTTTGCTCTTTCGCTATAAAACACCAAGTGCCGTACACCTTGTAAAAGTTCAGCTTTTCCTCGTTACAATGGTGTAAGTTGTTTTTATGTCCGATTTTAAAATTTAAATCAGATTTTTAAAATTTAAATCGGATTTTAAAAATTTTTTATATTTTTAAAAAAATGTCGACACAGTTTGGGATTTTGGGTGGCTAAAAGTATGTTCTTTTAGTGCAAAATGCATTGTCTTTATTTTAACTAATGATTAATTTAAGCAACTGCAATTTTAGAAAGCCTTAATCTGCTAAATCAGTGAATTATGGCTACAGACAAAAAATGAAGAAAATGTCAGTCTAAAAGGTTGGGGGGGGGGGGGGGGGGGGGAAATTATGCATAGATAAACTTGCATTTTATTACAGTGTGTGTGTGTGAGCACGCGCTTGTGTTTGTCTAAAAAGAAAAAGAAAATGTTAATTTCAATTATGAAAAAAAAGTAAATTGAATACTGTATTATTTTACTACTTACAGTGACAGGGGGGAAGCAGACTTTTAAGCAATTTTAGTCTACTAAACCTTATATCTGTTTTATAAAACCAAGGAAAGGAATTCTGAAAGTTTAAAGATGTAAAAACAGAAAACTTTTTTTAAAGTGATTTAAATCACTGAGTTTTATTTTTAAAATCAATTTGATTTAAATAAAATAAAAAATCAACTGATTTAAATCAACACGATTTAAATCAACCCAACCCTGGTTTTCAATTATGAAAAAAAAGTACATTCAGAACTGTACTATTTTACAGTGACAAGGGGGAAAGCAGACTTTTAAGCATGATTATATTAGTCTACTAAACCTTATATCCGTTTAAAATAAAACCAAGGAAAGGAATTCTGAAAGTTTAAATATGTAAAAACTGAATACATTTTTTTGAAAAGTGATTTAAATCACTGATTTTTATTTTTAAAATCAAATTGATTAAAATTTTTTAAAAATCAACTGATTTAAATCAACCCAGCTCTGATTTCAATTTATGGAGAAAAAAAAGTAAACTGAATACTGTATTATTTTACAGTGAAAGGGGGGAAATCAGACTTTTAAGCATGATTATATTAGTCTACTGAACCTTATATCTGTTTTATGAAACAAAAGAAAGGGATTCTGAATGTTGAAATGTGTAAAAAGCGAATAAAATTAATTTTTAACAAAAGTGATTTAAATCACTGATTTTTATTTAAAAAATCAAGTTGATTTAAATCAAAAAAATCAACTGATTTAAATCAACTTGATTTAAATCAACCCAACCCTGTCGTCGACGAAAGCGAAACCCCTCGCGGTCGGAATGCGTGGTCGGCCGGTTGAAAAATTGACACGGGTGCATTCAAATGCTTCGCGGAACGAGGAATGATTAAATACCGTTTTTTCATTGGCGGAGAACTGTAGAGCTTTAAACGGGCTTTCCTGTGGTATATGTTTTGCCTTTGGCGTCTAAATAGAAAGCTTTTAAAAATACTGTCAAAATGTTTAAAGATCACTTTTTACCCATAATATGTAAAATACTGGCCTAAAAAATATATCTAATAAAAGATCAGCTTATTTTCTATTAGAATAAAGTAATTGCCTTGGAATTATTTTTCATCAATCCTTCCACGAGACTCAGAAAGCATGTGACCCCGCACGCGGGGTACACTACAGTATAGAGCCGACTCGCTCGCCGCGGGTGCAGCGCCGGCCGGGTCAACGCTCGGTGTTTTTGTCGAAATAATGACAGATCATCGTGTTTGAGGCGGTAAAATACTGATTTGTAATGATCTCAGTCTTGAAAAAAATTAGGCTCCATATATTTGTTATAGTGATTGTACTCTGTTAATGTGGAGATGTTTAGTGCTCTTGGTATTCTTTTATTGTCTGTCAAACATGGGGTTGCAGCCAGTGACCGACTTTAACAAATTTGATCCAATTTTAAACAACTACCATTTTCTTTAAAATTGACTGAGAGGTTAAAGAATGGTACCAAAATGCTCAGTGGACATAGGCCTTTCAAATGGAACTGATAAACTTGGCATACAACTACTTTGAAAATTTAGTTTCTGGTACCTAATTATAGACATTAGGTTTATTTTTCATTCTAACATTTGCTTTGGTTACTTTTTTGAACATTTTAAATATTAATTGATAAAACCTGAGCTAGACTATCTGCCACGAAGATGATTGATTGCAGGCTGTGCTAGACTTGTGGTGTATAAGTGTTGAATTACATTCAGGCAGCATAAACTTATTGGCAAGTACATTAAATCAAACAAAAGTATGTCTTTCCTTGTCATAAAAAGTGCCAGCTACTGACTGGACACACAAACTTTTGCTTTAAAAATTTAATTTTTTTTTTATAGTAGAGGGTTTTACAACTCTCGCAACTGCATAAGGTCATATGAGCGCCAAGGGGTGGGTGTCAACAGAGAAGTCTTTATAGGGAATCAGACTTATTCTGCTCACCTTTCTAGCTTCAACAGCACAAGGTCTGCTTTGACTATCAAGGCACCCCGGAAATAGCAGGTCACAAGATAGTGACAAACATACTAAAGAAGTAGAGGAAAATGACAATAGCAAGGATTAAGAAAGAAAAAGCAGCAGTTCCCTGTTGTAGATCAGGCACAGTTATGAGCGTGACATGAATCAGCCCATTTACAATTCTACTGTGCTTGAACGAGAAATGTCCCCCCTTTGGGAATGGCCTAAAGACACTACAGTCAGTGGCACTGCCCCGGGGGGTTAAACCTTTACTTTATACTTATCAACATTATGATTACAAAGAGACTGGGAACTTTCATTTTGATAATGTTGAAAATGATTTTCTTAATTCAAGTCAAAGCCTTCTTAACGAGTTCTCTTCTCATTTGGAATATAAAGATTTTTTTGTACTTCAAACTCAAGGATGCAATTTTGCAAGAGTTTTTAATGGAAACATATTCAGCCCTTCTTTATTTTATTAAGCCTAAGTATTGACAAAGTTGCAACAAGAACTTCAGCACCATTGGCAGGAAAACAGCTCACAATGTTACTGCAATAGAATCATCAACAAAGAAGAACAAACAAAATCAAATCAAAATGTGGAATTGCAGAAAATACTCTGGGCATGTACTAATTAGCAATGACCACGAAAAACCTTTTTTTTGCCAGAAAGTGTTTGCAAATAGGTGCATTTTGTAGCTTTATCTTCACCAAACATGGAACTTTTTTAATTTTTGAAATCCATCAAAAAACAAAAAAGTTAAGGATTTTTTAATCAATTAATTTCTGGTACACTTTTATATAATGAAAAACCCCCAAAATATGGGACGTTCTTTGGTGAGTTTTGAGACAATATTCGTCATAACTCGCTCATTTCTCGGAGTATTTAAAAGAAACTTGGCAACCCAGTACATTTTCTAGTGCAGAATCTAGTCCTGCTTTCAGATTATTCATAGCTATCCTATTTTTTGAGTTATGAAGACGTTTATAGGTAAAAATGTGGCGGTTTTCGGTGCGTTTTGAGACAATATTTGTCATAGCTCGCCTATTTCTTGGAATATGTAAATGAAACTTGGCAGTCTAGTACATTTTTTAATGCAGAATCTAGTCATGCAGTCAGATTTTTAATATCTGTCATACTTTTTGAGTTGTAAAGACATTAACAGGTAAAAAAGTGGCGTTCTTTACAAATTTACAAAGATTATCAGTCATATGTTCTCCCAAAGTCATGATATTTGAATGAAACTTGGCAACATAAAAGGTTCCTCCTTGCCAAGCAATGCTCTGGATCAATTTGTCACAAAAATGTAAATAGAGAGCTGGATTTTTTAGTCTAATAAATCCAGTTCTCTACTAGTAAAAGCATGCATACTTTGTTATAGAAAATAAGATCGTCTCTGTGTATATCCATTGTTGGACAGTGTCCTATTGTGTGGTAGATTAAGTTGCGTTCAGATAATATAGTTTACAAGTCATGGGAATATTTCGCATGTGTAGGCTACAACTCATACAATAAATGTAACATATTTACACCCCCCCCCCCCCTCCCTCTCTCTCTCTCTCTCTCACGCGCGCGCGCACAAACACACACACGCATGCACGCGCGCGTGAACGATAACATTGTATAAACGGGACTATCTTCCCAGACTTGACTAAATAAGTACCATACTCTTTAATAACAATCTTAATGCCTCACTTTTCCAAACAGAGCGCACAGGATGAGTCCAAGTGTGTGGTTTCCCAGAGGGGGGAATAGGCTTTCATAATGCAAACACAATGCCATACCAGTTCTCAAGATGTTTGCTTTTCTATTTCTATTCTTCTGTCATGCAATCAAGCAAATAAAAATGACTACATCTATTGTATTGTGACTAAAATGCAACACAAACGCAAGTTATCAGGGCCCCGGTTTAGTTTTCAAGTATCCTTCCCCCCCTTTCCGGTTCACATAAGCGGGGCCTCGTTTGTAGCGCCCGAGGCGACCGATGGATGATGACGTCACTCAGTGGAAATTTCCCAGCCGCAAGTCGTTCGCAAATGGCAATGCCGCTTTTTCCCTTAGTTACTCCCACATTTTTAAAGATTACGCAAAAACCGCTAAACACAGAAGCTTGAAATTTTAAGGGAATAAAAAAAAATGGTGTACAACGTATCAGTCAGTTTGACAAATCACAGCTCCGAAAAATCTTCAAAGCGCACCACATCAACCACTTTCGCAAACGTTTTCGACTGCTTCTAGGATGGGTACAATGTTGTCAAACTGCATACTACTAGATTGACCTCTTTTCTGATTGGCTGCCAAGTTTCATTCATATCCATTCACGAGAAGCGGCATGAGAGCGGGTTGAAGACAACAACCTTTGCGTTAGTGCGTCCCGTGAAACACCCCCACTGGGGGGGCCAAAAATCGGCAGAACAAAACGCGCTCGGTGGGCATTGCTATGTACTTTGGCCCATTGAAGTACCTTTGATTTGAGGAACCAGGATAGCGCAGAGCCAAGTCGCTGTTGTTGCAAACACTTCATACCCATCACTTTACAGATACTCTGAGCTGAAATATAAATGATTTAAATAAATAAATGAACATTTTTATTTTTGGAATTTAATATAAAGGAAAAAATACTTTCATCAGGCATGAACAAAGACACATACACTGATAAGACTGATAAAAAACAAGGGGTATATGGGAAAAACAAGAGGTACATGGGAAAAACTGGATTTCTACAAATTTCTGGAATCACAGCACTTCTAATAACACTAAAACTACTAGTCATATGCAGACCCGTCACTCTAAGAAATCTAAAAATCAGGATTTCAGAGTAAAAAAATCAGGATTTGGTGAAAAAAATCGGGATCAACGGCAAATCAGTAATAAGGGGCACTGGGGACAGGGGGGGTCTCGGTTCCCTTTTATGAGGCAAGCATGCAAGATAAAACTTTCGCAGGAATAAGTTCCCATTTGGGCCTCAAAGTAGAGGAAAAAAACTGAAAGAGAGCATGTACTTGAGTCTGAGTTGGATAGTCATAGACTCGGGGAGCGCAGATTGCAGAGATGCTGAAACTCTCGTAGTCTTGACAATAGCTTACATATACATGTAACTCTAATCATCCATGCAAAAGGCGCGCGTTTCCATACAGTAACTAAACAAACAATAAAAAACAAACAAAAAACCAACCGCGCCAAAGTTGTTCATTTACTATTATTTTCTTAGGCCTGTTTCTTTATCCTCAGTTACTAGTAGCCTACACGTATCACGGCAAGCACTTTATGTTGTTATCGATCCAGAAAAATTTTTTCTTTGTGTCATGGCATTGAGGACTGGGGTGTCTGTGGACTGCCTGCCCACCCTGAGAAGGGGCCATGCACGTTGAGGATACGTGGTGCAAGGGTTTTCATGAGGCTGGAAAGACTTAACTGCCCTGTGACCGTGTAATTCCCGTAGGGTTCACTTTGCCCATTCCCCGC